AAAAATGCCAACTGGCCCAGCTGGGACTTGAACCAACAACCTTCAGAGCTAACCACTGAGCCACCGTGCCGCTAACTTTATAATATGAACCTATAATTAAATAATAATGAAAAATGTAATTACAATTTATTTTAATTGCTAAAATGCACAGAAATATGCATATTATTAGTAATAATATAAGCAATAATTGTAGCAGCAGTAGTACTAAGTTCCAAAGCAAACCTAACTGAGAAAGAATCAGTTTAAATCACATTAATGCAAATCAAAAACTAACACGCTCAATGAAGATTTATTGATGTAATGTTGATGTATTGCAGTAAACACTCACAGCACGTAGGAGTACAGCGATAAATGTGTATCCTGAAGACTATCATGAGATCACTCAGCATGGGCTGAAATATTCATTGTGATGACTAATAGCCTATAGTGTAATCTCATAAAGGACATGTTTATTCTGCAAGACTGGGGGACTGATTAAAGTCTTCATATAATGTTTTAATTTGTCTCAATTATTAACTCTTAATTTGCAACAAAAAACATTTTCTAGGTTGGATCTGCTATAATGAAGCCGTCCAACAGACTCTAGGCTAATGATATTTTAATAGGAAATAAACCACAGATTATATCTGCCTATAATTGACGCGCTCTTATCTTGAGTGTATTTTTCATTAGCACACTTTGAAGCAGCACTGGAAAGACTTGGTTATAGCACCTCATTTTTTAAAATCATTTTAATGTGCCACACTAGACTGAGTGTGATTACGTTTACTCGACCTTTTGTTTCTTCAGACACATTGACTTTGAAATGAGCTCTTTAAAGTTTTCCATATTTTAATTTAATGCTAGATAAAAAACATCAAAAGATATACCGTGGCATTTAATAGGAGCGGACCGTGACAAATTTAGCAATTAACTTGAGAATGATGATATGTCTGTCATAAGAAAAGTCAGTCTCTTCTTGAAAGTCAGATCACTGATCTGTTTCTTCCCTTATTAAATCAGGTATCCTTTTTTACAATGACATATGGCATAACCTTTGCAAAATTACCATGGAAACCATTCTTTATGAAAGAAAATCCATATTGGATTCTACCAGCAGTCCATTTCATTAAATATTGAGTAAAGCAGCAAACTAAAGCAGAATATTTTTAGATAGAAATCATATTAAGTGATTGATTTTTAATTTTTGAAATGCATAATATACCTACTGTACAGTGGTGATCAAAAGAGACAACCTAGACTTTCAAAAATATCAAGGACACAGTTTGCCAAGGACACTCAATTTAAAGGGGTGGTCCAGAGTGTATTTATAAGGCTTGTTTGTGTTTATAAGATGCAAAGCAATGTGTGCTAATGCTTCATTTGTAGAAAATCATGTTATGTTTTCATATATCTTACTTTGATTATATACAGCTGCTCAGCTAACATGAAAACAACTGTCATATGTCCTAGTTCGTCGGAAAGGCCTGCCCTCAAGAGGCTCTAATTGGTCAGCTAACATAATTTGCTGTGGTTCGCGAATTGGCTCCACATCACTACGTCCCGCCCCTACAAGCACGCGCTTTCGCACTGTGTAAACAGTCAGTCGAGTAGCGTTAGCTGCCTGAATCAGACACACAGCTAAATCTCACGCCTACTCTCTAAAACAACATCTCACAGACATCCCAAGTCTCCCGGAAGTTCTGAAACCTCTCGCAAATCCATAGAGACTCCCGGATGCCTGCAAACAAATGATAATCTCCCACCCGGTCCTTAAATAGTCTCCACCGCATCCCTTCTAGCTCATCAGGTACATCGCACACACACGCCCCACCGCTCTTCAGATACGTAGCGCGCACACGCCCCTACCCCGGTCTTCAGGCACCCACTCTCCCGCGACCTCCCGCAGATCATCTCTGTCTACCCCAGAAATTAATTTTTCCAACTTGGAATGTCTGATCTCACAAGTGTCTTTTACAAATATTTAAAATAAGCAAGTGTAAGTAACATAAAACGTTCTCATTTTTTTGCAAGTTTGGTTTTTGAGATGTAGAACACATGAAAGTATCTGCATAAAGAGATACTGAAAGTGTCCTCATAGAGAGGCACTGCACACGCTGCTAAAGATTGTGGGTGTTTACAGCAGTTTGAGGGATAAATATGAATTTGTAGCTAAATTGTTAGCAGTGCCAAACAGCATTTCCCATTGTTTATGTCCTCGCTGCAACATACCGTTAAAACTCTGCATGTAGTGGATCAATTTTAACAAATAAAAATACTTACAGGTTGTGGCTTACAATCCACAGCTTCGTCGGTTGGAAGAGTTTGAATCGATTCCAGCACTAAACTGGGAGAAAATGTAGAAGCTCTCCTTTGTCAAATGCTAGCTATATTCTTTATAATTCTCTGGAACATAATTAAAATTAAATTGCAAGCACTTCTGTCTTTGTGTCGTGTCCTTTGGAAGCCCAAATACAAAAACAGAACTAGCAGCAATTGGATGATATTTTAGCTTATCTTTTAGCGTATCTGCTGCAACATTACAGCACCTCTGGCCACGCCCCTTTGCTGCATAGGGTGTGTGCGTGTGGTGAATGTGCGTAACCGGAAGCTCTTGTGCTCTCTCTAGCCCGGATGTATTTTTTGTAGTCCCCAAACTTCATTTGCTGTAGGCTTTGCTAAGCTAACTCTGTAAAATCCAATGTCTCCCTTTGCATTGAATTGTGAGCATATTACATTGAGAGATGTTGTTTATGTTCATATACAGCTACATTACACATCAACTAAAGTTTAGTGGACCCCTCTTTAAAGTTATCCTGTTGTGTTAGCATATTTCATGAGCTATACAGTACACAAACCTTTCTAAAACAACAATGATCAAAATTAGAGAACACTTTCAGATTGCTCACAGTTATTGGTGTTAATCTGGGACCTGGTGGTCAGTTCCAGGATTGTAGACAAATTCAAAAGCATGAGAATACAAAAATGTAAGATTTTTAAAAGGAGGTGTGACCTAACACCACCCCGAAACCCCTAAATAGGAATTGTCAATGCAGCCATCACTGGTAGATGAGCAAATTGTACTAAAATGTACAAAATACAAATTAAATAGTACAAATTCAACCGTATATTTTTGTACAATTTGCTCATCCCCCACGGAGATTACGTTGATAATTCCTATTAGCAACATAACTTTAGTTTGAGTTTTTCCAAATTTACTGAAAAAAGCTTCAACACCAGGTTGTTTTGAAGGCCAAAGAGATGGGGATTTTATCCAAAAGCATGCTGGGTTTTGCCTGTGGGTTCTATTGCATCTTTAGGGCCAGAACACAGCAAGTCGACCCCAAACAACTAGGACCTGCAAAACACAACTGTGTTGTTGCCTCACATCAGCTCACATCTGCACCAAAAAGCTGCAGTGAACACACCAAACGATAGTAGCCTAGTCTGTTTTCTCATTTAGAGCAGGAAACCGGAACTTCTGATGTGCATGTGCAAAGTGTAAACAAAGCCACATTCAGTACCATTATCCCAGTAATAAATGTCACTCACCAGGGAGGGGCTTACTTCTGCGGCCCTTGCAATGCCAATAACTTAGTCAAGTCCCCCAGAAAGACACGTCCTCCACAAAAGACAAGCCACTAAAAGTGGATGAGTAAGTACTTGGTTTGGGGAACACTGGCTGACAATAAAATAATGAATTGTCCATCCCAGAGTCCTGATCTACACCTAATTGAAAATCTCTAGAAAACCATTTGCAACAAAGTTATGGTTACAAAATCCAATACAGTTGTTGAACTGTGGAAAAGACTAAAAGACGAGTGGACCAAAATCACAGCAGAAAAGTGATAGTGATGTTCTCTGACTGTGTGGGACTATAACCTGTGAGCGAATAGTGATGTCTGTAAGAGACTATTGAAGTCCTGACTGCAGATGTGTTGAAGTAATTTAAAGCAAGAGCTTGTACACTTCCTGCTCATGTTTTGACTGCTGAAGCCTTAAGAAATATTTATTTGTGCTACATTCATTTCTGCTCCCTAATTTTGTGTTGTTGTTTTTTGCTGAAATAAAGGACCTTAATTCGTAAACGCTCCTACTAACTAATGGTAGCTAAATGTTACATTATTTTAGAAAAAAAAAGTTAATCAAGTGTTTAAATTGTTATAAATGGTCTTTTTTTAATTGATCTTCAATTATACTGTTTTAAGGCATAAAGTTTTGGAAGATCACCACAATTTTAAATCATATTAGTAAATCAATTCCATGTTACATATTTTGCCATGTTAAAGTAGGCTGTATATTCACACATTTTTTTTTACCTAATGCACCACCATCTATTTTTTCTTACAGTAGGCTATCTTGCTTTGTGATGTTTTTTGAGAGGGTTTTTCCTAGGTTGCTCATAAGCTACCAACATATTTCATCTCTTTATTTTTATCATGTATCCCAGCAAACAATCCTGCTAGTCTTGCTATTCTGCAGTCAAGTTAAATTTGTGACAAACCTTATTATTTACCTTTTACTAAATGACTAAATTAATAAAATGAATGACTCCTGGGCCATAAAAAAGCTATCAATATTTGGGTTGCACTTTATTTTACACTACTGTGTACATAAGTTAACCTTAACCCTGACCCTATGGCCAAGACTATAGGTCTAAGGGTTTAGGGATATTAACACCAATAATGATCTGCTACCAAAATTAGGTGATGACTATGTGGAACAGGATGGTAAAATAACTGTAAATAGATTAGTCCTGTGTAATACAGAAAAAAAGAAAATAAAAAAATAGGAGAACCTTTAAATAGTTTGAAGTAGATCCTATTTGTTTGATACCCCCTCCCTCTATATCTATTTATGTGTGTGTGTGTGTGTGTGTGTGTGTGTGTGTGTGTGTGTGTGTGTGTGTGTGTGTGTGTGTGTGTGTGTGTGTGTGTGTGTGTGCGTGCGTGCGTGTGTGGGACAGAAGCAGCTCACTGTTCTCATCAGTGCTGAAATAAAGTTTTTTAAACGCTCTTCTTATTTTCAAAATGGCGGAGTACGATCTGACTACCAGAATCGCTCATTTTTTAGACAGGCATTTGGTCTTTCCGTTGCTGGAATTCCTTTCGGTCAAAGAGGTAATACACAGATATACAGTACAACATCGTTGTTAACTTATATAATTGATCGGTAATCGCAGAACTGCACATCGCACGTGTGGTGAATACCGTTAGTTATCTGATCGAGATAAATAATTTCTTATCCCATAATAAAACAATGATGACATCTTTGGACCATTGTGTTAAACGTTTTATTTATTGCTGTTTTTGACAGATCCGTTTTTATTCAAAGCATAAGAGCCTTTGCTAGCACAAATCCTGTGTTTCCAGGGACATCACCATGTTTTTGTGTTATAACAGTGGTGTAACTTTGTATGTAGCGTATATAAAACTAATAAATTAATATAACGTTATTTAATAACACTGGTTTTATATTCGCAAAATCTGACTTCCATTTCAGAAACGTATTATTTGCAAATTCTAAACGGTAAAATCATATTCTCAATTACTATCAAAGTACTGCATTGTTTACAATCAATTACATAGTGCTAATGTTGTTTTGAAGTCATACTTGCATGTGATACCAGGCTTAATATTCAAAGTATCATCAGGGTAAACAATATAAAATGTTATATTCAACTTTACCTGAGTTAATAGTTTCTGTATATTAAGATCCTTAAAACAAAACAATCTTTTAAAATATATATTGCTTCTGATTTTACTGTAACAGTGCAAATAATAGCGTCCTTGGTAAAAACACTGAATAATTAATTCAACATTTTAGACCTATGGTGTAAGTTTAATATTTTATTACCCTTGTTTTGACGCATGTCTGTTTTCTGATTTCATGCTGCGCAATTCTAACTGTTACTTCATTTCTACCAAGGATAGTTTTGTTAAATCTGACATTTATTGTCTTCTCAGATCTACAATGAGAAAGAACTTCTCCAAGGGAAGCTGGATCTTCTCAGCGAAACAAACATGGTGGACTTTGCAATGGATGTATATAAGAACCTCTATCCTGACAAAGAAATTCCACACTGTAAGTTTTCAATAAAATTGATAACTATCGCTAATCAACAGATGCTGTTATCATATACAGTATTTCCTTTAGGATTTTTCCCAGGTGTGGCGGAAGGCCTTTTTTAAACAGATCTACCAACTACCTTGCGGCATTATTTCAATGACAAATGTCGTGAGCGCAGTATTACAAGTCGAGATCACATTCATGTAATAGCCTAAGAGCATGCAAATCGCTTTGCCTGTGCTCAGATTTCCTTCTGCTTGTGCACACCATCTTAAATATATGCTGCTCAAGCGCAGATCTTCTTGTGCGCTCTCAAATAAACGCTGCTGAACTGTGATTTAGTGCGTTTAAGTATGTCTCCAACATTTATTAGATTGGCTAGGAATATTTATGAATGTCTCCGATAGACCTACAGAATGGTATTAATGCGTCCTGAAGTAAAGTGAAATGGATATACATCGTGTTTGCTGACCTCACGCATAACGCACCTGTCAGTCAGCAAGTCAGTCAGTCAGTTAGTCAGTTAGCACATCCCCTAGGGTAAGGGTTAAACAAATAATGCACAGCACTACTACAGTTACAGAACAGTTTGTGCTGTTATAATTCACTTAATTTTTTTTAAGTTTTAGTGCGATTATCACATGCTAATTAAAAAAAAAAAAAACACGACTGAGTGTTTTAAATGAGAAGCTGTTATGTAGTCATGGCGGGATCAGTTTTGTCATGGCGCCTCGCCATGGAAGAATGAATGTAGCGGAAACCATGTTATACTTCATGTGCAATCACCTCACAAGCTACTTTATATTAGTTTAAATTAAACAGTAAGAGTAAAATGTGACACTCATTTTTAAAATCAGCAAACAACTGCAGCTGTAGAATATTACAGTTATTCAATATTGTGAATAAACATACATTTGTGCAGCTGAGCAGTAAAAGTGTACCTGTTCTTATTATCCATTATTATCTTATTATCTACTGAATTGAATTGAATTGTTCTTACTATCTATTATTCAAAAAGAAATATTTGTTGGTTTTTTATCATTTAGAATTTTGAAATTTTAACAAATTCTGCTGCTTAATATCTTAAAGGTGCAATAGGTGATCTGCCAAAATGCTAGCATTAGCATAATAGCTTAGAAATTTTACGACCCTCCTCTGCTGTCCAACGCCTCCGAGCCACGCCTCCTTAAGTCATGAACTCACGAACGCACACACATATTTTGCCAAAACTGTATCACAGACTGTCATTGTTTAGAAATGAACAAATGTGTGAATACAAATCAAACTTCACCTCAGTAAAGCTGCTTAGGCAGAAGTGCACATTTACTAATGTTTTGTTATTAAACTAAATAAAAATGTAATCAGAAAAGGAGTGCTAAAAACAGAAATATCCTGCCATCTGTTTATATTTACACTTGCATTTATGATAACAAGACAACAAGTGACTTTTCATTTTCAATTGTGCTCGTTGATCCTCGTACATCGCTTGTTTTTGCAAGGCAAGGCAAGTTTATCTATATAGCACTTTTCATACACAGTGGCTAATCAAAGTGCTTCACATAAACAAGAATAAAAGAGACAAGTATAAGAAAAATAAGAACAAATAATTAAAATGATAAACTGGTAAAAATGTGTTAAAACAGGTTATAAAAGAATGAAAAAGAAGAGAAAAACATAATAATAGTGCGATCGGTTGGACGTAGCACAGTGCTCATTCAGTCAAGGCACAGCTAAACAGATGTGTTTTCAGTCTCGATTTGAATGTGCCTAATGTTAAAGCACATCTTTAGTTTCATGCATACAGTACAAGGCCACGTTGGTCTTTCAGAAAGAATTTCAGGTTGATGCAGAGTTTGCAGATGACGTCTCTTTGTCAGGTGTAGATGCGTGCTTCACGTGCGCGCAAGAGTGACGTATCAGTCTGCTTAAAGAAGCTGCACAAAAATTCAAATTGTTGTGAGTTATTTGTCGGTCCGACAATATTTAATTGGATGAAAGTTTTTAAGTTTTATGCCTTATCCAGAAAACAAAAATACAAATAAATACATTTAAATCATTTACTTTAATCATTAGGAATGTGAAGAGACTTTCAACCAGCCCAGCAAACAATGTTTCTGAAGACAATCACCTACTGCACCTTGAATGTCAGCATATTTATGTCTTAATTTCATAAAGCGAATATTATAGGAGTACAACACCTGTTTTGCTTTTTGTTTATTTATATTTTGCATATTTAGAGATATTTTACTATTCAAAAACAAACTTTGCTCTTCATTTAAGGTTTAAAATGTCAAAATTAAAGATTGTTAAAATGGATATGTGGTTTTTGCTTTTTAGTATACATAAGTAATACCCTTATTTATTGTTTAGATGGAGTTGTTGAAAAAAGTATGTACTTTTATTAAAGAATGACATAAAAACAATTCTAATTACATTTGTTAGGTTAATTTTTTAGGTTTAGCTTTTTTTATAAATTTAAATTGATTAAACATAAAACAGTTAATTGTAAGTTGACTCAGCTCATTTTAATTAAGTAGTTTGAACTAGCATTGATAATGTAGTTACGAAAAGCAAAACATCATATTAAAAAGGTATTCATTTTTATCAAATTAATCGATTACTTTAAAAAATAATAAAATTATCAAAATGATTGTTAGTTGCAGCCCTATTTATCACACTTATCTGTGATATGTCTACTCCACAGGTGTGAACCTACACTGGTCTCAAGGTTCGGTCGGATTATCATGCCATCGATTCGGTTCAATTCGTTATCTCAGTGCATCACGGTGCATTGGCGATGCTTTCTGTACGCAGTTTTATATTCTCTTTACAGCACAGCAATTCTTGTAATAAAATGTATAAATATAAATAAATAAATATATTTAAATTTATGAACTATTATGTAATACAATATTGTCCTTTAATTCAAACAGTCAAAAAGCAAATAAACAAATATAAATATCCCGCTTGCTTTCTGAGCCTTGTCTACCAAGTTCTTATACCCCTTTAATTGGCCACGCGCTCAACAGAAAGGGCTGCGATTGGCTCTTCACAGATGAGTGACACTGAAAAATGGCTGCGGAGATCACAGCTGTTCCATGATAGCCTCCCTCGTGCATATGAGATAAATCAGGGATTCCCAAACGTTTGTATTCCAGGACCCACCTAGGAAAGTAATTCAATCTCAAGACCCACCATAATATTTTATTATGGAAAAATGGGTAAAAAAATTTATCCATTCAAAGCAGTCAAAATTATATGGTGTGCGGCTTTTTGGATTTTGCGATTTGATATGCACAAAATGAGGCTCGAAGTCCTTTTTTGGGATGCTGGCTGTAACTGATAATTTTTTTGTTGAAAAAGATACTCTTCTTTTTTCAGAAGAGAATATGATCAACCTTTGATCAAGCCCCGTCACATCACAGTAAATTCCATTGCTAGTGTAGTCATAAGAAGCTAAATAGCTTTTTGATCGACTACTACAAGCTGGGAAAACGTCAGATAAATATGCCAATGCATTTAACGTTATTGCTGAATAGATGTAATATTTACACATTTGCTTGAGGAAGGAATGAAGGGGGTAGTTACATTACTATTACTATTTTCCATAACATCCATGCCCTTCCATAACATTAGATGAAGTTAAAACTAACAGATAGCACTATAGCTATTTATTGATTAGCAATCTGTCAACGTTGGGATGTAAAAAATATGGGACAACAAATAGCTTCAAATAATAGAATACATAGCAAACATTAGAAAATATTGACAATAAAATAAAAGGTTTAGCCTATTAAAATCAATGGCCTATCCAGAAATTAAATAAAGCTATAAAATCTATTTCACTTTAAATTGTATTTGCATATTGATTAAAGTTACTATAGTTATTTAGTGAAGAGCAGCAAATGAATCTCTCATTATGTTTTGTTTGATAAAAGAGGTGTTAATGTAAGAATGCACAGATCTATAATGAAGCATTTGACTACTTTAATAACTGTTTGTGCTCATTTAAGAGAAAATTGGTAGTGTTGAAAATAAAACACGCAGGACCAAGCAAAAAAAAAAAAAAGAAAAAAAAAAGAAAAAAATAAGCACTTTTCTGACGGTCCCTTACTCAGAGCTCCACTCTGCGAGAGCTCAAACGGAGCAGTGCTCGTAATGTCAAGCAAAAAAAAGAAAAAGACAGCTGTGAAACATAACCAGCTTTGTCTTTTTGTAGGAAACACACTTTAGATATTTTTAGGGTAAGAGGTTTTTAAGTTATTGCTGTCAATCGCACTGGTTTTGATTTACCGCAATGTAACTATAGCTGCAGCTATGTGATGTTGCGCGACCCACCTTTGTTCACTGTGTGACCCACTAGTGGGTTGCGACCCACAGTTTGAAAACCCCTGAGATAAATGACGTCAGTATATAATAACGGGTTATGATTATAACTGAACTGATACCGAATTGTTCACGTCTGCATCGCAGTGCACAGAAGAAACAATTAATTTTGATACCCCTACTCCATATAGTATTATAGCAACAATGATCATTTTGCAATATATTGTGCAGCACTAATCGCTATACATTGAAAGTAATTCAGTCATGACGTGTAATAATTTATCTTTTTGATAGCCTTGAGGGACAAAAGAACCACAGTGGTGGCCCAGCTAAAGCAGCTCCAGTCTGAAACGGAACCCATAGTGAAGATGTTTGAAGATCCAGAGACTCAGAGACAGATGCAGTCCACCAGGTCTACTGCCAACATAATACTGTTTATTGCTCTGTAAAATATAATATATTAGACTGTGGAGTTGCCTTAATGTAACTCTACTACTATGTCACTACTATAAAGTTCTTGTGTTTTTTCTTAGAGATGGAAGGATGCTGTTTGAATATTTAGCAGACAAACATAGTGTAAGTGTTTCAACACATCTCAAATATTTTTATTTTTTTAATATATTTTATATTAAAATAATTTATTATTTTATTTTATTTTATTTTAATTATTATATTTTGTATTTTAGAGTAGCTAATTGACCACTTGTTTAATTTTTTATTGATTTTGATTTCTCTTCCCTCAGTTTCGTCAGGAATATTTGGATACACTTTACCGCTATGCCAAGTTCCAGTATGAGTGTGGAAACTACTCTGGAGCTGCAGAGTATCTCTACTTTTTCCGCGTGCTTGTAAGCAAGACCACTAATGTTTCATTTAGTTTTTGTTTGTTTGTTTAATTTGATTTGTGAAGTGTGAAATAGACTTTAAAATTACAGCCTTAAGGGAGAGGGTTAGAATACATTAATTTGTTTCATCCCTGAGTGGTTTAACAGCTTTTATTTTTTTAGTAATTTACCTGAACAAACAATCGGCAACCATCACTTCTAGTGTTTTGAGAGGTTGTTGAACAAACAACAACAAAAAAAAGACTTTACTTTTTTCATTGTATCTTTAAAAATGTATTTAAAAAACAATTAAAAAATATATATATACTTTTATTAAACAACAACGTCAAAACTGATGTTCTAGTGTAACAAAGTTGACTTTTTTTCAAAATTATTTGCCCTCCTGTTAGATTTGAATTCTATTCTTTTACATTTCATCACTAAGTTAAAGGGAGAGGAGGTTTTTTTTCCAACTCATTTTTTTATATTTTATAGTTTCAATAACTTATTTAGAATGACTGACTTATTTTGTCTTTGCTATGATGACGGTACATAATATTTTACTAGATATTTTTCAAAATACTAGAATTTAAAGGCTTAGCCAGGTTAATTAAGTTAATCAGGCAAGTTAGGGTAATTAGGCAAGTCATTGTATAACAGAAATTTTGTTTAGTAGTCAATTGGGAAAAAAATCTTACTTAAGGGGCTAATAAAAAAAAAAAATGCTTTTATTCTTGCCTAATAAAACAAATAAAACTTTTTCCACTAGAAAATGAAATTAAATATTGTGAACATTTCCTTTCTCCATTAAATATCACTTGAAATGTATAAAAATATGATGTTTATGTTTTCAAAGTGTATTATTAAATGAGTGTATATATTCAGCTATAGAAAAAAAAGAGACCACTTAAAGATTCTCAGCGTCTCTGGGTTTTCTAGGTGTGGGTTTTAGTAAAATGCTATTATTTGTTGTTTTCGATATCTAATATTTTACAGTTTCCACTTTTTCTAATAGAAATAGTTGAAAATAACATTTGGTCAAAATAACCAATTTTTCACTGCAGTTATGACTGCAAATAGGGAATATTTCACCATATATTGTCTTCATAGCTCCTCTAAAGTTCTAAAAAATTGCCAACTTGTTGTCTAAAAATACAGTAAACATGGCAGAAAAATCTTTTTGTTATTTAACCAATTGTCAATTTATGCAAAAAATGGCAAAGGACAATTTTTTTATTCAGATTTTTACAAATTCTATTTCAAATATTTCCCAAACTGATGTTTAATGAAGCAAGAACATTTTCAAATTATTTGCTATAATGCTTTTTGTTCTTTCTCTAGAAACTCTAGAGACTATTTCTTTTCATTTCCCTGGATTAAAAAAAAACTTTTTAAGGTCAAAATTATTAGCCCTCTTAATAAATATTTTAATTGGCTACAGAAAGCACTGCTCTTAAATAACTTGCCTAATTAACTTCATAACCTAGTTAAGCCTTTGAATCCACTTTAAGCTGAATACTAGCATCTTACAAAATAACAAACATATTATTCTGTCTTCATGCCAAAGACCAAAGAAATTAGTTTTAAAATATTAAAGTTTTAAAATGTGTTGAAAAAAGCTCCCTGTTAAACAGCACATGGGAAATATTTTTTTAAAAATTACAAATTTACAAGAAGACTAATCATTTTAGCCTATCTAAAGGGTTAATAGTGCCAACTGATGATCAACAGTATACATTACAAATTATACCACTTCCTAACAGGAAAATCAACCATCAATCAAGAATGCATAATTATAGGGTGTCATAGCTTTGCGATCAAAAAATGTCATTATAATAGGGCAAAAACAGCTGTGAAACATAACAAAAGTGTAGTAATTTTGAACAATACACAAGGGTAAAATTAGGACAATGCTGTTCTAAAATCATTCACAAAGCACCTAATCTTGACTTAGGAATTTAAAAACTTTTTGACCCACCTCAGATGTTAACTGGAATAGGAGTTATATGTTTAACACAATTTCCTACACAAAATCGAAATGTATCAATGCTAAAGTGACAATAGCTTGCATAGATATGAGAGGGGCGAACATGATATTGGAAAATGTGTAGAAAAACTCATGGTCTGGTTTTCATGATCCAGGTTCCCTCCACAGACAGGAATGCTCTGAGCTCTCTGTGGGGCAAACTGGCATCGGAAATCCTCATGCAGAATTGGGAAGCAGCCATGGAGGACCTGACCCGCTTACGAGAGACCATCGACAACAACGTATGTCTGTCCACCATTCTTCACCATTCACCTCTGTCTAATAGAAGCTTTGATGCTGTATTCCAACAGCAAAATTTGTCTCCCTGGTTAATTTGCTTCTCCGCCAATGTTCCTTTGAGCTCCTATACAACAGACCTTTAGCAAGCATCAGGCCGTAAACACAGAACTGACCACAATGGCATTTACATTGCATCAGCTTTGACATGACATTTATTTGCGATGCAGTTAAAAAATGGATGTGTTTGGATTTACTGTGGCCCTGTTTGCTTTGGTAGTCCATGCATGGAATGTAAGATCAACTATATGACACAAGGCTGAAGCGGTGTTGACATGTTTTGAATGAAAGCATGTTTTTGTTTTGCTGCATGATTCAGTCGGTGAGTTCGCCTCTTCAGTCACTGCAGCAGAGGACGTGGCTCATACACTGGTCACTGTTTGTCTTCTTTAATCATCCCAAAGGCAGAGACAACATCATCGAGCTCTTCCTCTATCAGCCCCAGTGAGTAGAATCAACTAAGACATACACTTGGTAAAGTATAGAGATAAACCAAAATGAAAATTTTTGGCCGAAAAAGAGCAAACCAAGGCGAAACTGAAACACTGCAATAAATTCTGAAAATTGTTAGTACCATTGCATTCATGGCTATGACTGTGTAACAATCTAACTAAAACCAAGGCATTGTCTCAAGAATAAATCAATCACTTAGATTTTCACTTAATTATGAAAATATGTATGTAGCGCATTGCAACAATGGGTATCACTTTTGGGGATTGAGTCTTATACAGACAGATAACATCTAGCTGTTAAGTGGTTGAGTTTGTCTTCTGCTTAACATTTGAGAAAGATTAGAGAGAGTTTTTTTTTTTTTTTTTTTTTTTAATAGGACCAGTGCATAAATTATAATTTTTTATATGTAGTAGCCCCCTTCAGAAAATTTTCAGTGGCTGAATATTTGGTGCATCCCTAGTAAATTAATTTGACTAACAATTATTTTGACTCATTTGTTTAACTTCACAGTTTAATGTTATTGCACAATAACTGTTTTGACAATCAGCCATCAGTAATATTGTATAAGACACCATCAGAATGAGTGTGTAAATATATTTTTTGCTCACTGCATGTAGAGCAATTTGTTGATTAACTTATTAGTGAATTATTTTACAGACTAGAAAAATAAAAGCTTAATGATTTTAGGTTTAAAAAATTTTTAAACCTAATTTTTAAACCTGTTTTAATTTTTTTTGAAAAACATGAATAATAGTATTCTTAAGTGTACTAGAAAATATTTATTTTTATATATATTTCAAATTTTATTAATACATTTAAAAAAAATTAAGTGATTTTAAAATTAATAGAACACATATTAATGATAAATAAAGCCTGTTTTAATGTTTCAGTTAACTTTTCTGATAATATGTCAAGATATAGGTGGAATAATGTTTTATTCAATGTGTAATTAGACAGCAACTAGCTCTCTGCAACTCCCACATGGTGGCCCACTGAAGCAGGGCTGTGCCCAGTCAGTACCTGGATGGGAGACCACATAAAAAAGCTAGTTTACTGGCAGAAGTGGTTTTAAGGCTGATTTATACTTTGCTTCATGTGTGCAAATGCTTTGGTTCAGCCTTTGCACGGTCGCATAGCCTTTGTCGTGGCCATCACCAACGCTGACACGCACCCTTTAATAAATGTAACTACACGTCGCAATAATGCATAGCGCAAGCTCTATGATTTGTTGGCTTGGTAGCGCTGATGAGAGTTGCGCGAACCTGTTGGAGAAAGTGTTTACAAGTGTCGTCTCGTGAAGAAGCTCTAGGCGGAAAGTTTTTTTTTGTGTTTACCTTATGATTGAAAAGTCTTGAAAGTTGTTGCTTGTCCGCCGGTTCCCACATCAGAATGAGCAAGTTTTAGCTACTAATACATTAAGGTAGCTTTCAGAAAAAACAAAACATCCCCGAAGAAACTCGACACAGTGGAACATAACCTCACTACCAGCTAGCGCATCGAAAGTGTTATTGCAGAGCAACACAAACAGCACGCAGAAGTATTAATGCAGGACAACGCGCAAGGCATGCGTGGTGAGTCACGCCCATCACTCGACACAGAAGTATAAATTAGCCTTAGGTGAGGCCAGCAGAGGGCGCTCAACCTGCGGTCTGTCTGTGTCCTAACGCCCCAGTATAGTGAAGGGGACTCTGTACTGCTCAGTGAACCCTGTTTTTCAGATTAGATGTTAAACCGCGGTCTGGACTCTCTGTGGTCGTTAAAAATCCTAGTATGTCCTTCAAAAAGAGTAGGGGTTTAACCCCGGTATCCTGGCCAAAATTTGCCCTCTGGCCTCTGTCTATAATGGCCTCCTAACCATCCCTATATCATCATTGCCCCATCAGTCTGCTGCTCACTGGTGGTGGATGAGGAGATTCCCCCAATGTGTAAAGCGCTTTAAGTGTCCAGAAAAGCGCTATATAGATGTAAGGAATTATTAATCAATTATTATAATGTATGCACAAATTTCTTGCTGGATTATAGGTAAAACAGTGGTTAGAAATAGAGCGGCACAATATTGCAATGCATAATTACAATTAATTAGTATTTTTATAATTTGCATTTATTTATTTATTCATCAATTTTTCATTAAAAAGCGATGTACAATTGATGATAATGGAAGATCTTTAGATCATCAGACAAGCAACAATATGTAAATGCAGTGATTAGTTTTGGTTTGTTTAGCATTTCAGACTTTTTTTAATCAATTTTTCTGTTTAAAATATATTTTCAATTGACATTATATTTATTTATTTTAAGTATGCCTGACAAGTATTTTTGGTATGTCAAACTTTTATTGAAAAATATCTTTACACTTTATAGAATTTTCATTAAACATTCATTTAGAGACCCATTAAATATAACTGTAAACATATAGTAGTAACAGTAAACTTTGTGTGTGTGTGTGTATGTGTGTGTGTGTGTGTGTGTGTGTGTGTGTACATATTTTTTGTAGAAATATTTATAATGGCACAAAAAATTTACATGATGTGAGATGTCAAATAAAGGCAATTGTTATAGTATTTATTCTTCAAGGAATCTTGGGGGGAAAAAAAGGATAACAGTAACAAATAACATTTGTATTATATACTCTATAGTGGGAAATATTTCCTGTGCAGCAAATTAGCATATTAACATGATTTATGCAGGATCATTTGACACCGAAGATTGGAATAATGGATGTTAAAAAGTCAGCTTTGGCTTTCTGCTTTTCTGCTTTTCCCTTTTCTGCTGCAACAAGAACTCTAGAATTGCTCATTAAAGAAGAACTGCGACACCACATTTGCATAACATTTTTGTTGTCACTCGCTAAAAGGACCCGACGCAAATATAACACGCGCTTTCCAGCAATTATTACAGCGAGGGCAGTTGGAAAATTCATCCTTAATGAGATTTGCTCTTGAAAGTGTTACATTTTTAGGGGGAACAGTGCATGAGTGCGTGACCATATAATGAGCGGCGCTTAGTCTGAGCACTTTGAAAATGACACGCTCTGTTGAGGGTTTGAAGGCCACAGTGTTGAAATGTTAAAATGGGAACCAATCAAAGCCAGTTTTGTTTACAAACTGATCACTGCATGGTTTGTAATTGCTGTTAGTTTGCATTTTGGTTTTAATTTTACTAATGATTACAAAATATAGCAGAATCAGCTGTTATAGAATATAAAATGATTATAAATGTATTATTTGAACAGAATATAATGTTGTGTAAAAGCTCTAATGTTGTGGTCTGTACTGTATGAGTTTTCAGAAATCATTTGATATGGAATTTTTTTTTATTTTGGAATTGTTTTGATAGCTGATATGTTTCATTTTACATTGTCATTTAGCAGGCACTTTTGTCCAAAGTGATATACAATTGAGGAGGCATTTAGCGATTCAACAAGAACAGGCAGTAGGGTGGAGGTACTATGACATCACCTTGTAGGCTAATTGGCCTATTGCTAGCATAAAACTGGTTCCCTCTATAAAATTCCTATAGAATTTTCCCATTGGCTTTTTGAAATTGTTTTGTCCAACCAGACAATCCTTACACGAAAATACAAATTTTAGCACTTTTGCATCTTAAATGCAAATACAGGAATTAAAAAGCTAACATTAGCTATAAACATACTACAGTCCCTTCGGGGTGCTCGCCTGTGACGTCAGCACCACTTTGCTACAGACTTTTTAAGCTTATATTTAGAAATACGGTCCATGACAAAGATTCTCGGTTTACTATATTATACTAAACACTATGTATTATAAACAAATAAACACACCTATACTTTATAATCCTATGTGCCTTTTGGATAGTTTTTATGTTTAAAAAACATTTTGTTTTGATTTACGGTTGTTGTAAAAGCTTTCAAAATGTATGTATAAATCTGCCTACATAGTATTATCATAGGACATATTTAAATAAGTGTATTGCTCGCGTACATACAGCCCGCTTACCTTAGTAAAAGATAACAGAAATAAGGTGTGAGGGACAAGTCTATATGCCTGCAAGTACCATCATAGATAAATGTAAAGCAGTCCTTACATTCACATATGTTTTACATTTTAGTGTTCAGATGAAGAAAAAAAACGATGAAAAATCAATTGATCACAGTAAAATGACAGTTAATATGTCTGTATTTCTTACACATTTATTCACACGTTTGCATTACTGGGAGCGGGAAAGAGACAGGCTGCACTGGTAAACAGTATACCCATAATATTGTTTAAATAAAATAAAGGATCACCAAATCAATCTGTCTTGACAGTCTTTACAAGTGAAGGCATTATTTACACACGATATGAATTCTCAATTAGAAAAATACTACAAACTATAAAATACTTTTTATGAAAATGCTTAAATACCAGACAAACCCAAATGCCCAATTCAAGCAGTCTGCGTTCCCGACCAGAGGCTCCTGGAGAGGATGTGGAGCTTCAGGAGCAGGTGGAGTTATTTTTGTGGATAAATATACATTTTTCACATTTTTTTCTGCATGATTGCAAAAACTAAAGGCAAACACATACTGTAAACAACAGATTTTATTAAAACATTTCAGAAAAGTTTGAACTAAACTTGATTAATTCTCTACGACCTGGTTTTTAATATAAAATCTACTGTCTGACAAAAAATAAAAATAGATAGCAACCAAGTCATTGAACATTAACCAAAATACCAGTAAAATAAATAAATGTTGGACAGCATGCACGTGAAGTGGTTCAACCAATGAATACATAATTTAACAGTTTAAAGATATGGGCCTAATTTTGTAAATAATGCCCAGGAATATACAAATATTTTTAATTTCTTATCATTTTGCGTCTTTGACGACAAAGCCGAACTTTTAGCACCCTTTTCTCCAATCATCGGTCACATGGTCCTTTAGAAATCATTGTAATATGCTGATTTAGTTCAAAAAACTGTTGTGCTGCTTAATGTGCTGCTGAAAAATAAAGTAAGGGATTGCTTTTCATTTTTAGGGAATGTACTTGCCTAGGTTGCCTTAACTACTCCATATATATTCAACACTTTTATACATTTAGAAAAATGTAGTATATGTATTTTGTATTTTTTCAGACTAAAGACAATAACATGCTTAAGAAAATATAAACTGAATGAAATTGGTTCATGACAATATATGGTATAAATTCATAGAAGATGTATACATAATTGTATAAACATTTTTTGCTATTCTGATAATTTTGCGTAGTTAACTTTACAACTAAAGAAGGGTAGTTTTGTCCGACAATTGAACATTATTAAGAGAAATTAATGACAATAAATGTTATATGCAGTCGAAGTCCAAATTATAAACCTAGAAAACTTTCACAGCATGTCTGATAATATTTTTTTCTTCTGGAGAAAGTCTTATTTGTTTTATTTCGGCTAGAAAAAAAGCAGTTATTAATTTTTTAAACACCATTTTAAGGACAAAATTATTAGCTGCTTTAAGCAATTGTTTTTTTTTTCCGCTGTCTACAGAACAAACCATCGTTATACAATAACTTGCCTAATTACCCTAACCTGCCTAGTTCACCTTTTTAACCTCGTTAAGCCTTTAAATGTCACTTTAAGCTGTATAGAAGTGTGTGTATATATATATATATATATATATATATATATATATATATATATATATATATATATATATATATATATATATATATATATATATATATAATATGCTGTCAAAGCTTTGAAATGCTTCATGTTTTCATACATCTATGAAATTACTTAATGAGTAATTTAATTACTTTTCAGACAAAGTAAATATAAAGGTGATTTAAATACATTTTAATGATGTAATTAGTTATTAATTACTTTTTTGAAGTTACTTGCATAACACTATTTCCAGCTTATTAAACCTATACATTTTGGGCAATGTGTGCCTGTGTGTGTAATAATTGATTATTTTTGCATTTTTATTACATATTAAAAGTCTGCACTGATACTTAGTTTTGGCTTGCCAAGTCTGAATAAATAATTGAACTGGCATGTTATTTATTAGGCCAATTATACTTTTACTCAAGTACATCATTTATGTGTTACTGATGGATTTTGTCTTTTTTCCACCAGGTACCTAAATGCAATTCAGACCATGTGCCCCCACATTCTCCGCTACCTGTCCACAGCTGTCATCACCAACAAGGATGTGAGAAAACGGCGACAGGTTCTCAAAGACCTGGTCAAAGTCATCCAACAGGTCAGCATGGTCACTACTTTGTGTTCAAGTTTTCCCATAATGCTTTTTTTTTAAACATGATTTTTTTATGCCTTGTGTAATGCAACTGTTTAACAAATGGTCTTCTAAACAGCAATAAAAAAATTTGATACTGAAATGTTTATAGCAAATCATCAGGCATTCAACTATTAAAACCCAAAGTGAGTATTATCCGTAGAATCCCCCTTTTGATCTAATACAGCCATGAGTCCTTTTGGCAAAGATACAACAAGTTTTTCATACCTGAAATCTGATCCTCTGCCATTCCTCCTTGCAGATCCTCCCAGTTCTGTCAGGTTGCATTGTAAATGTTGGTGGGCCTCTCTAGAGATGCTTAATTGGGTTTAAGTCAGGGCTAGGACTGGGCCATTTAAGAACAGTCAGAGTTGTTGTGAAACCACTCCATTATTTTAGCTGTGTTCTTAAGGCTGATTTATACTTCTGCGTCAAACACCGGCGTATGCTACGGCGCTGACGCATAGCCCATCGCCGTGGCCGTCGCCGTCACTGACGTGCACCTCTCAAAAATTGTAACTACACGTCGCAACAACGCGTAGCACAAGCTCTGTGATTGGTCGGCTTGCTAGCGCCGACGAGTCTGGGCGGGACCGAGAGCCGCGCGAATGGCGCGAGCGATTGTTTACAAGTGTGGAGTCCCGTGAAGGAGCTCCGGATGGAAAGTTTTGTTCTTTGTTTACCTCATGGTTAAAGTTGTTGCACGTCCGCTGGTTCCTGCCTCAAAATGAGCGAGTTTGAGTCACTTGTACATCCAGGAAGTGTTCAGAATAGCAAAACAGAAGCGAAGAAACTCGACACAGAGGAACATTTACACCTCACTGCCCACTAGCGTTTCGGAAGTGTTAATGCAGACCAACGGAGACAGCGCGCAGAAGTATAAATGCCCAGCCACGCGCGTTGCCTGCGCCGTGAGTTGCGCCGGTCACTTGACGCAGAAGTATAAACCAGGCTTTAGGGTCATTGTCTTGTTAGAAGGTAAACCTTTGGCCCAGTATGAGGTCCTGAACACTCTGGTGGAGGTTTTCCTCCAGGGTCATTAATGTACAGTAAAGTGATGACATCAGAATTCAACTATTCATAATTCTGACGTTGAATTACTGTGTTTGAGACATACACTTGCAATCTGTCATTGACAACACTATTAGTTATGTTAGTAATGTTAAAGTTATGTTAAACATAATTAAAATTATTTTTTTCTACTGGTAATCAGTCGTTTGTCATTATCAGATTCCCTCATGCATTATATTCAGCATTATATAGGCTAGAGTAATTATTCTGACACTGTTGAACATTTATTTTCATGCACAACACTTTGTGTTTGCTATGAATGAAAAACATGTCAAATGCTTGTCGTAATCATAACTTTAAAATGTGATATGATTATTTAATTAATCATTTTTCACTGCTAAGTGCGGTTCTTACTTCCTGCGTGGCTCCCAAACGATCACTCTGTGCCACAAACTATGTGTTATTTACAACTTTATTACCTGTTATTCACAGCCTATGGAGGTTCTGTTCACTAGATTCGTTCACAAGCGCGCGCCCGCCCTCTCTCTGGTGACAGCTGTTGGTCAGCTCACATCACGTGTGATTTCGCAAATACATCATTGCATGAAGACAGAAATTACATTTTTAGGGAGAAATATATCTTATACATACAGTGTGACTCAACACCTTTTGGAGATGTCCATGTTCCTGAGCAACGTACGTAAAAGAATGTGAAGACTTGTGCATCCGACTTTGCTTCCTTCCTGAACTTGAAAATAAGATTGACAGAATCATAGAAATGCTGGATTCAGATCTACTAGGTGGTCGAATCGAGATTGCAATTTTTTTCGATTAATTGTGCAGCCGTACTATGGGGTGCAATGTGTATAATAATGAGGAAAAAAAATACTTAAATATAACAAAAAGTGAAAATCAAAGGGGGACTGAATACTTTCTGTACAAACTAAATTATGAAGATGTCAGTGAAAAGGTATTTTTCTATATGATATGCTTGTCAAAATATCTGTGTATATACTCTGAAGCAGCAAAGAAGTATGGAAGGATGCACAGATGGAGCAGGATGTGTTTGAGTCATTAAAAAAAAAAAAAAAGAGAAAGATTGACAGGCTCATTTCTGTGGCATATAGCCAAAGTATTGGACAGAAGGAGAGACCTCAAGTATATCCTTCTGGTGAGTGCTGAGTTCATTTCAGTTTTGTTGATTATTTTCCAAGTTTACATGTAAAATTTTTTTGTTATGCTGATTGGACAAGTGTAAATGTGTCTGTTTTTAATATACATAATATATATATAAATATACATGCACATGAAGTTTTCACTGATTGTTTGTAGAAAGTCTTAAGCATTTGTACTGAATCCACTGTACATTTACTGAGTCAAATGGGAAATTTGAGAGCTTGTGAATCATAATTGTTTCAAATCTGGACATCTAAATCGATACCCATCTTTATTGGCCAACCACGAAGGGGCAAGGTATGAAGAAATTCTTGTTATAACTTTAAGCATATTAATAAAATATTAATTAGATATTTCACCCAGAAATTTAAATTTGCTCACTATTTACTTAACCTCAAGCCATATCACCCTGCAGCCCAAGACCAGTTACTCACTAAAGCTAAGCAGGGCTGAGCCTGGTCAGTACCTGAAAGTGAGACCGACCACATGAGATAAATTGGTAGCTGTTTGAAGTTGTGTTAGTGAGGCCAGCAGGGATCGCTCCAGCTGCAGTCTGTGTGAGTCCTAATGCCCCAGTGAAGTAAGGGGACACTACACTGTCAGTGAGTGCCGTCTTTCGGATGAGACGTTAAACCGAGGACACTGATCATTAAAAATCCCATGGCACTTCTCGTAAAGAGTAGGGGTGTAACCTCAGTGACCTGGCTAAATTCCCTCCATCAGCACTTAGCTGTCATGGCCTCCTAATCATCCTCATCCACAGAATTGGCTCTATCACTGTCTCTCCACTCCACCTGGAGTTGGTGTGCTGAGTGCACTGGTGCCGTTGTCCTGTGGTTGCTGTCACATCATCCAAGTAGCTGCTGCATACTGGCGTTGGTGTGGAGAGATCCCCCCCAATCAATTTTGAAGCGCTTTGGGTGTATGGCCATACACAATAAATGCGCTGTATAAATACACATTTTATAACATTACAAGTGCTTACAAATCCTTATGAGTTTCTTTTTTTTCTGTTGAATACAAAAGAAGATATTTTAAATGAATTTAGAAAACTCAAAACCCATAACCATTGACATCCATAATAGGAAAAACAAATACTATGGTCGTCAATGGTTACAGGTTTACAGATTTCTTCAAATTATCTTTTTTTTTGTTCAGCAAACGATAGAAAGTCAAACAGGTTTAGAACAATTAAAGGGTGAATAAATGATTACAGAATTGTCAGTTCTGGTTGAACTATCCCTTTAACAGTACCATGGTTATACTGTAGCCACCAATGCTTCACAGAAGCTCTCCGTTGCCCACAGCAATGAGTGTTTAGAAGAGTGCTGCCATTTTCAGCTGTCTAAAAATCCTTTATTGGACACATGGCCTTAAATGCTATACTTGAACTTCCAAATGATGAGGACTAGGGCCTAAATTGATGCATAAAAAGAAAATCAATGGCATTGTTACGGACACGTAATATGCCAAGTAATCCTCAGGAGATGAAATTCAGCTATGGTAATTTTTTTAACTGGTTACGACACAATACATATGTTAAAGCCAAAAGTGTGTGTATGTACAGTATGTATGTATGTATGTATGTATATATATATATATATATATATATATATATATATATATATATATATATATATATATATACACAATATTGTAACAAAAGGGGAGTCAATTTGATCAATACACACACAAGGGTTAAGAAAAATCTAGATAAACCAACTAGCTGACCATTCATTCATCACACTATCTCTACATCATTTTATCATACCTTCAATATATGCTGTACAAATGTATTTATGGAAACCATCTGAGCCGAGCTTATTTCCGGAATGATTGTTGTGAACATTCCCGTCTTTGTGGATCAGATGAATGAGCTCACAGATCCTGCTTTGAGGTTTCTAGCTCGACGAGCGTGCTGCATTCCATTACGCTAATACAAGATGCGCTTCCCTTTAAGCATGCATTCAGAGCTGGCGAATTAGCGTCTCTTTGTAAATGTAGTTGTCATGGCGTTCTTGTGGCTTCATCACGTTTTATACCCAGCGGCTGTGGCACCCGCTGTCAAATTAGCAGGAGATTAACATCACACTCTGCTTTTGCTCTCTCAACAGGAGTCATACACGTACAAGGATCCCATCACCGAGTTTGTGGAGTGTCTCTACGTTAACTTTGATTTTGACAGCGCGCAGAGAAAACTAAGGGAATGTGAGTCGGTAAGAATCATCACCTGAGCAATTCCAGCATTATGGATGTGACATTTGCAGTAAAAACTTAAAAGCTATTTGCATAGAGAAAGCATATGCTAACACTATATTGAAACATCGGGTCATATTTTCCAAAACAACTAACGACAGAGTTATGGGATCTTGAAAATATTAGTCTTTAAACATTTTTATATTTAAAATGAGGAAAATAAACATGCGTTATGAATGTGGCCAAAAAAGCATGTGAGTTTACAGTATACCACATAATTAACTGCACATCCCAAAAGAAACAATGCTAATCACAAATATAAGAGTTGTCTCTCTATAGAACAAAAATGGTTTATTTTATTTAACCCTTATGCGCTGTTCAAATTTACTACCTTTTTATTATGATTTTTTTTTGGCATAAATCTGTTAATCAACCTCAGTCCTGATCAAAACTACTAAATTGTTTAGAAAATTCTAGGATTTTAACTCTTTAATTGCCAAATTCATTAATGATGTCACTGATATGGTGAAAATAAAACACACAAAATGATGTATTTTCCATATAAAAATTAATTATAGACTGGATTTTTAAAAATCTATCACAGTCTTGAACATGTGAACGATTAGTAACAACATTAGCCGCATTTTCAATAACGGGCCATTGCAAGACAGAGCTTTTATCGGGCTGGGCCGTGCCATGCCAATAGCCCAGGAGCATGAGCAGTGAGGCTGAAATCATGTCGCGTTTGCACTGTCGGGCTAGTAGCTCGTAGTGCATCACTCAAATCCGGCCTCCAGAATGTCCCTCGAATACAATGTCACTCAACCCGCCCAGTTCAGCAGGAATCAGGCAGGCAGATCGCATCATCACAAAACAATTAAAGTGGAGACAACTGAAACAAGCATATGACATGTTACTGTACAGCATTACGTTATATGTCTATGCGCACAGGCCTATGTATTTGCATTAATTTTATTTGTTTACTCGCCGACTGACTGTTGGCATCGTGCATCGAGTGGTCTCGCCACTAACGAAGGGATGACCCAGCGGACTATCCATAATATAAAACTGCAGACATTTTCCGGTGATAACTCTGTATAAAATGTATTTTATAACATCAACATGCACAAACACATCTTTTAAACTTGACCAAAACTCTCGACAACTAAAAAATACTGGCGGCTGTGTCTTTATTATAGTGTAGAACTCAAAGTAGGACGCAGCAAAGAATTGCCACATATAAATTCAAACTACTTTATTATTTTATGCAACAGCCTTACATTTAAAAGGGAACCATAAGGGCGATCATAAGCAATAAGACCCCTTGCCTATTAGGTGTTTTATGGAAAAGCCTATCTTAAACTTATCAGCTATATGTTTTTCTTTCCCTTATTTATTTATTTGTTTGGCGCATGTACTCGTGTGTGATCGAAAACTAGTGTAATGGCGGCATGCCATCTTAACCAGACTCAGGCAAACTCTTCTTCTTTCATTCCACACGAAGTCCCAGCAGGTTCCTTTGGCCCAAGGTATTCGGTGGCCTGAAAAAGCCCAGCCGCTGGCTTTGAGGAAGCCCTGCTTTGGCTTAATCAGGCCCCGGAAGTGACAACGGAAACGCGACAGGCTCGCTCGCTTTAGGCGTGATAGTGGAAATGAGGCTATTGGCTTTGATGCATTGTTAGATTTTCATTTTTTCTCTTTAATTTTATTGTTGGTGGCTGTTTTCCCCACATTGTCTTCCATTATAATCACTTTTGCATAAATGCACAGTCTTTGTTTTTGTTTTATCCATGTAGAGCTTAGATGCATATTTGGATTTTCTCAGACATATCAAGGTAAGTGCGCAAAGACACACATACCATCAACAATCAAAAATGCTTGGTTATATGGTGTCATGGTTTTGTAATCATAAAAATGTGGTTATGATGGTCAAAGTCAATAGGGCCAAAACAGCCACAAACAGTAAATTAGGGAAAAAGGAAGTCAATCAAAATCAATGCATCATGCATATTTATATTTGTTTTATTAAAAACAAGCTTAGATTTGTCCACCTGTCAGGTTTTGGACTGTATGGTGCATAGCATGTGTATTTGAATATAACTCAGTTTTTTGACCACACTTTGTTATTTTGTTCAATTATTCGTTTATAAGAAATTAAACCTAAATTTAGAAATAGTTTTAAAACAAATCTTCTCTGCAGCTGGTCTGCTTTTTCTCGCTAGTGAAGCGTCTGCCATGTAAATAGCAAATGCGCCATGGTGCGATGAAACTGACTCTTAAAGGAATTTGGATTTGAGACTCTGATTGGTTTATTCTCAAAACACAGCTATAACTCAATAAGAGAATAAGCTCAACCCTGTTAGACCTTGTGCCTCGGCGCAGAGTGTATTTTTCCATCCTTAAAATAGCAAAAGTGGATTTTGACACGCCCTTAATGCTTTTGTGCCCTGCGCTTCAGACTTTGCACCTAGATCGTTAAAATAGAGCCCTTTATATTTTCACTAAATCAGTGACATCATTTATGAATTTTGCAATTAAAGAGTTAAAATCCTGTCATTTTCTAAGCAATTAGTAGTTTTGTTCAGGGTGATTTTTTTTTTCTTTTCTTAAATTAAAAGCATTTTGTGTCATAAAAAAAAATTGTCAACAAAAAGCATTCTGCTAGCTCAAACACAAAACATATTATGGCCAAATTAAGACTTAAACTCACCCCAGAGTGGATGAAAACATCCCTAACAGCACATAAGTGTTAATATTGTTTCATTTATGAGGAAATAGCTATGTTATGAATGTGAAAGCTCTTCGTTATGGATATGACTTGGCCCACACGGAATCTGCGCGCGCAGAATTCCGCAGATTTGCCGCAGATTTTCCACAGAATTTCGCAGATTTTTAACCCACTATTAATTCTGTTTATTTACTTTAGTAAATGTGTACATCTGAATTTATTCAGTTTTTATTCAGTAATTTATTACTTTTTATTTAATTTATTAAGGTTTTAGTTATGAAACTCAGCTGGATACTTCCAAAATAATTCCGCAGAAATTCACAGATTTTTACCATAATTCTTTGCAGAAATAGCAAAAAATGTCCGCTGATTCCGTCTGGCCCTGGATATGACCAATGTGAAATGGGCACATGTGTGACTTTGGTAAATCACACTAATTGGTATTTCTTACTCATAAAGCCTAGAAAGAGTTTCACTATTTTAGTGAAAGATTTTTTTTTTTTTTCATAGTGAAGTTGACATTTGCATGAAATTGCTCAGCTACAAACATTGTCATTCATGTGATTCCCATAATACACTGGATCTGTCCTGTTTGAAGCAGTCGTGGATGTATGTTGAGAGGAATTCTCATCCTTTTCCTTGCAGCCATAGGTCTATTCATCCACTGCAAATCCCTGTCTACTGTAATTTACCGCGGTTTCCCTCTGGGCTTTTTAGAGCATTTCTGCTGTCAGTGTTCAGACCTACAGCTATGAGGCAGCTCGTCTCCTTTCTGAGACGTGGCCTAGTTGGGCCAGAGGGAGCGTTCAGCATTCAGACCTGTGAAAACATAATCTACTCTGTCTTTTACACTACCGGCTCAGTTTTACGCTTGAGGGATTTGTGTATATAAAATTTGATTTGAACCGGAAGAACGAATTTGCACAAAACAAATTCTCAATTTTCACTTGTCATGGAAATATGTGTGTCCTAATAGTGTTTATAGCAATGTGGGACATACAGTTGAAGTCAGAATTATTTGCCCCCCTGAATTATTAGTCTCCCTGTTTATTTGTATCCCTAATTTCTTTTCAATGGAAAGAAGATTTTTTCAACACATTTCTAAACATTATAGTTTTAATAACTCATTTCTAATAACTGATTTATTTTATCTTTGCCATGATGACAGTAAATAATATTTCCCTTGATATTTTTTAAGACACTTCTATACAGCTTAATGTGACATTTAAAGGCTTTACTAGGTTAATTAGGTTAACTAGGCAGGTTAGGGTAATTAGGCAAGTTATTGTATAACGAGGGTTTGTTCTGTAGACTATTGAGAAAATATATAGGTTAAAGGTGCTAATCATTTAGTCCATAAAATGGTGTTTAAAAAAAATAAAACTGCTTTTATTCTAGCCAAATTAAAACAAATAAGACTTTCCCCAGAAGAAAAAATATTATCAGACATACTGTGAAAATTTCCTTGCTCTGTTAAACGTCATTTGGGAAATATATAAAAAAAAAAGAAAAATTCAAAGGGGGCTAATAATTCTGACTTCAACTGTGTATATATGTCTGTCAACATCTCTAAAAATGTGTTTTAGGGTTTTGTGACCCTTTAACAGAATAGTGCATTTTTATACGCTGTAATTGAGATGCTATTTGTTTTATTTTTAGGTTTTTATTTAAGTAAAAATCTGAATTAGATTTGTTTAGTTTAGTCTGGCATAAAGAAAGTTTAGTTTTAGCTATTTTAGGTTTAGTGCAGCCCGGAATTTAAATTTATATTTATTTATCTTCAGTAAAGATATTTAGAATTAAATCTAAATGATTTTGGTTTCTCTATTAAATGCCCAAAGTGCTTTCAAATAAATCTAAATTATACATCCATATAAACTGAGAGGATTAATACAAGTTTTGAAAAAAAACACAGTCACAAAAACATTTAATTTAAGCTTAAGTTTGTTAATTGAATTCGACCAATGCTACTTTATTTTTTGCTATCAGCGGAGGACACATCACATTTTTGAATATATTAAAATATGAAATGTAATAATAGTTCACAAATGTACGTTGTTTACTTAAATAGATATAAATACAGCCATTTTGACTATGAGACCATCAAAAACTGAAAAAAAAAAATATTGAAAGGAAATCAATCAATCCATCAATAGGTACATTTTAATGAGCTTTTGAATGGTAGTATACACACTCATTATATAACATTATATACAGTGAGTGGCTATAGAAAATCTGTAAAAATCTGTATTTGTCATATAGCCTGAAATCAGATTACATTCCAAATAACTTATCCAGCCTTTGAAATATTTTTGTAGCCTTCTCCTAACCTGTGCTTTTCTACAACACTTTTGCAAATTTCTTATGAAAGCAGGGTGTAATGTGGGTTAACATAGATTTTCACACAATATGATTTTCTATAGGCACTTTTCTCTTGAATGGATGTTAGTTATTATTTGTAACTCATAATCAATGTTAATAACTATTAAATGCTGTTGTGTCCAGCAATCTTAGTTAAGTTTTTCTATTATTCATTCATTCATTTTCTTGTCGGCTTAGTCCCTTTATTAATTCGGGGTCGCCACAGCGGAATGAACCGCCAACTTATCCAGCATGTTTTTACACAGCGGATGCCCTTCCAGCCGCAACCCATCCATCTCTGGGAAACATCCACACACATCCACACACACATTCATACACTATGGACAATTTAGCCTACCCGATTCACCTGTAATGCATGTCTTTGGACTGTGGGGGAAACCGGAGCACCCGGAGGAAACCCACGCGAAGGCAGGGAGAACATGCAAACTCCACACAGAAACGCCAACTGAGCTGAGGCTCGAACCAGCGACCAAGTGACCCTCTTGCTGTGAGGTGACAGCACTACCTACTGCGCCACTGCCTCGCCAGTTTTTCTATTAATTTGTGCTATTTGTGTGCACAAATTACACTCTATACTGTTAAAGTTTAAAGAGTCTTATTTTTTTGTATAAAAAATGCTATATAAAAGGTATTTAATAACATATTTAAGATTTTTTTCTGCATAAACAATTATCCAATAAGTTTGTATTAGTTAATTTTAGTTAATGCATTTACTAACATGAACAAACAATGAAAAAAACAATTATCACAGTATTTGTTAATTAGTTAATGGTGATTAATGAAAATACAGTTGTTCATTGTTAATTCATGTTATCTCGCAATGCATTAACTACTGATAACAAGCATGAATTTGGCTGAACTAAGATTAATTAATGCTGTAAAGGTATTGTTCATTCTTAATTCCTATTAGTAAATAAATTAACTACAAAAAAAAAACTTATTGTTAAGTGTGACCAAAATTACTCGTGTTAAAAAGGTTATTTATTAATAAATTAAGTTTTAGACTGGCTGGTTAAAAAAAAAAAAAAATAGGCTCTGTGCTTTTCGGTAGATCATCAACAATACTTGCTCAACTTCCAAACGATTGTTAATGGAGTTTTTTTCTGTTTTGAAGGTGCTGGTAAATGACTTCTTCCTGGTTGCTTGCTTGGAGGACTTCATTGAAAACGCTCGGCTGTTCATCTTTGAGACGTTCTGCCGAATCCATCAGTGCATCAGCATCAGGTAGCGCCGCCTGATAGACTAGTGTGTGCTAATCCTCTTATGCTGTAAAAAGAGCGTAGCATGCTGTGAGGATTCACTGCAATGCCAGGATCAGCGGACTCCAGCCAAGTCTGACAAAAACCGAGAGACCTCACAATGCTGTACATTCTGAAGAATCAGCTGGATGGAGAGTGAGATGGAGATAGATGATAGTACGGCTGGCATATTATTATGTAATTGAGAGAATACTTCTTTGTATTTTTATGTTTTTATTTTAGTGGAAATTTAGTTACTTTTTAATTTTTTGTTTGTCTACAAAGTTAAGTCTATATAAGTCATATTATATTTAGCATTGTAGTTCAGGAATAGTTTAATTTAAGCTATTTTAGGTTTATTATATTCCAAAAATTTTTTTATATTTATTCACTCTCATATTATTCCAGACCCATAAGTTATTTGCTTTTCTTTAGTGAAGCTATTTTTAATTTAATGAAATTTGAGTGATTGCTGTCTTACTGAACACCCAAATGCCTGTTAAGACATCTAAATAATACATCCATATAAACTAATGGGTTTAATACAGGGGCATTGCTAGACATAAAGCTGTACTGGGGCACAGCTCTTCCTAAAAAAAATATATAATTTTATTATTTTTTAAATAAAACAAATAAATTATATATTATTCTAAATGAATAACAGTATTTTTTGTTATTATACAATTATTATTCTAAATAAATAACAGAAATTAATCCTAAATGTAATTGAAAAAATCTAAAGTAAAAACTGGATTGATTTTAAAATCATTTAAGAATTTTTTACAAGAGTATTAATTTAATGTGAATGAAATTCTATAGAAGGCAATTCTCTATAATGCAAAAAAAATGTTTTATGGAATTATCTGTTGTCTTAAGCAGGTCGCACACCAGAAGCGCCGCTCGGCGCCGCGACACGGCGCGTACATGACAGTTTAAAGTATCGCACACCAGACGCGCACATTCGAATGATATTTAACATGAAACTAATCAGATGGCGCTCTGTGGCGCGGCTGAAAAATGAACTGCGTCCTGAGCCGTCGCCGGGCGCCGCCGACTTGCGGCGCCGGTGTGTGTATCCTGATAGAAACCTATGTTTAGAATTCTAAAATACATGGTGCTGCGTGGCGCTGTGCGGCGCGCCGCCGAGCGGCGCTTCTGGTGTGCGACCTGCTTTAGACTCATGGCTGAGAATTAGGTTTATTAAGTCTTACCTCCCTTACTCATTAGCTATGTTTCCATTTGCAAATGCGCATAAAAAAAACAGTTGATGGAAACGCCATGATGCGCATAAATTTTGAAAATGCGCATAAAAAACTTATGCGCCTAACTGGGTAGGATAAACTTTTTATTTATTAAATTAATTTAATTATTAAAAAAGGTCATGTGATTTTGTTAAAAGAGATCATGTGAAGCTTAAAATGTTTGTGAATGGACAAAACATCAGGCTGAGCACATTATAAAACATCTAAAATGTTGTTTTGGTCATTATAAAACGCCTTACCGTTTCAGTTTTAGTGTTATTATATTATTAATGACCTCCAGAATCATGACCGCCTGTGCTCCGCGTCTGACACCTTCAAACGCCACTGCGCGCTCACTGCATGTCAGGATTGTCTTCTGAGGCGCATTCATTTAGAAAAGATTGATGCAGCTTCTCCTACTGCAGCAAATGCAGTTTTTACTGTTGATATTTGGCGCCAGTTAATCGGGAAGTGACGATTTTGTTCGCTTTGACTCGTTGGATGGAAACGGTGCTTCATTCGCACAACTTTTATGCGATAATGCAGTTTTGAGCATAAAGTTCATTCTCATTTTTGGATGGAAACATAGCTACTGTCCCTCCTTTTGCTTCATAGAAAACATTTATCAGGAGCCATGCTTAGTCTAAATAGGATCATCATATAATTTAAACTCTGTTTTGTCAACTTGCAAAACTAACAGTGTGCCGACATCTCCGCATAAAAGACTGTTATGCCGGTAAGCATGAGAGGCGCAAAATCAGCATTGCTATTTTTTCGGTGTGCATGTTCACAACCGGGGCTTTACATCAGTAACAGAGCAGCGCATCAAGCTTGAGCAGTGAGGTGTGTAGTTCTATTTTGTGTGGAGTATTTAGGTTCTCCTTGTGTTCGCGTGGGTTTCCTCTGGGTGCTCCAGTTTCCAAAGACATGCGCTATAGGTGAATTGGGTAAGCTAAATTGTCTGTAGTGTATGTGTGTGAATGGGTGTGTATAAATGTTTCCCAGTGATGGGTTGCAGCTGGCAGGGCATGTGCTGCGAAAAATATATGCCGGATAATTTGTCGGTTCATTCCACTGTGGCGACTCCAGATTAATAAAGAGACTAAACCGAAAAGAAAATGAATGAATGAATGAACATCTAAAAAATAAACTTGAGAAAATCACCCGTTTATGCCAAACTTTGTTCTGTCAGCAGGTTACGCTATGACTATGACTCAATATTGGCATGTAAATGTCTTCAGGAGAGGAATCCCATTGAACCTGTGAATTTTCAGGCAGTGTCCGTGTGGCTGATTTAAGGCTGGTTTATACTTCTATGTTGAGTGGTCAGCGTGACCCACCCTGCCTTCCGTGTAGTTGTGCACTTATACTTCTGTGTGCTGTTTGTGTAGTTACATTTTTGAAGAGGTGCGCGTTAGCCATGGTGAGGGCTATGCGTCTGCTCACAGGCTGCACTAGAGGAAATGTGCATGCTTGACGCAGAAGTCTATATTAACTTTTATAAGTAATTCCTCTTCAATAGCAATACTCTGAATTTCGTCGGTCTGCCATGGACAGGCCCTTCAACGGAAACTAGATCTTTACAATTTCACATCACAAAGGTCTTTGGATTAGATTAATGGTATTTGAATTCGATCTGAGTTTGTTACAGTGTAAAACATGTAATTTCCTGTTGCCAGCAGGTGGCGCTATTACTGTAACTGGATATTGGCATGTAAACGTGCTCAGGTAGAGACTCTTATCAAATGTGTGGATTTTTAGGAAAATCAGACAATGCATGCCTGAGTTATAACTTCCTCTTTCGTTGCGAAACATCAAAGTTTGTGAGAACACCACTGACACACCCTTCGACGAAAACTCTGGATCTTCACAATTATATATCGCCAAGGCCTTTAGATGATAATGCCCTATATTGTTGATGATCTGATAATATCCCTTGGAGGAATTTGTTAATGTGCAATGTCTGGAAATGGCAAAAAGTGCGGAGGAAGTTAAAAATATTTGACTTCCTGTTGGCTTTCGGTTTTCGATTCAAAAGACTTTTTGTAGGTATTGACATGTTTGATGTGTGCCAATTTTCGTATGTGTATGTGAAATGTAGCTCGTAGGGCACTTTGTTGACATTTTTATAGGTGAATCTGTCAAGCTATAATGCCACACCCACTTCCGAAACCTTTATCATAAGTAAATTTTCTGTACTTCTGATGTGTGTGCAAGTTTTTGGGCATGTTTAGACTCTCAAAAATGCAATTAATTCCTGAACAGAATAATAATATAAGGATAATAAACAGAACAATTCCAATAGGGTCTATGCATCACCGATGCTCGGTCCCTAATAATAATAACAATAAGAATCTAAATCTAGGAGAAATAGATGCAACAGAAAATGAAAGCAAATCTAAAATATTTAAAGACTTTCCATTTAGTGAACAGATGTCTCAATTTCTTAATTTGCGTTCTCAAAATATAATTAAAAAAATTGTGGGGTTTGGAGTGATATGAGTGTTTGAACAGCACTATTTGAGCCACATTTTTTATTTTGTTAGACTTTTTAAATACCCCGCTGTCTTCACATGTAGTCATAGATATGGTGGTGCATCCTAATTCATGTCATTAGTTTGTGTTTATCACTCCAATGGATTTTCTGCTCCGAGAGTTTGAGCGCTTGTTTGAACACAAAGAGCTTCATCTCGTTGTTGACCTTAGGCAGTGTCTGTATTTCTCCTTCTCTCTCTCATCCATCGCTCTTCCTGTCTCCGGGCAGCATGTTGGCAGATAAGCTGAATATGACCCCTGAGGAGGCCGAGAGATGGATCGTAAACTTAATCCGCAATGCCAGACTGGATGCCAAAATCGACTCCAAACTGGTGAGTGAGCTCTGGGGTGCACAACACATGTCCAAACACAAAGCCCTTTAGTTTGAGATGCTCTGGACTCTCTCTGACAGTTAAAGAGCCCACAAACAATTTTATTTTACCAAGGAAAAATAAGCCTATGGTAAATTTGTTATAGAAATTAGGGCTACACGATATTGGAATAATCTGACATTGCAATATTTTTTTTTCTGCAATATATATTGCGATATACTGTATCTATGCAATTTCACCAAATGATTGAGTAGCACTATTTGAAAAGTTTTTAATCACAATTTATTTTAAGGTTGAATTCTTGCTATTAGCAAACCATTAAATATGACTTGTTGAATATGTTTCTTTATAATACTATTAATATAGGAAATTAAGGTAGTTTAGGTATTGAGTTAGAAATGTAGAATAAGATCATGTAGAATATGTACTGTAAATTATAAGTGCTAATAATAGCTAGTTAATAGTGAGAATTCATCCTTAAAGTGTTACCAAAGATATTCATTTTGATTGATTCGGCTGATTCTGTCATCCCAATAGGGGAGCGAATCATGCATAAAATGTAATAAACAAACTACAAGCACACATAAATGCAATAATGCAAAGATAAAAATGAGATAAACAGTGCATGCTTTATGGTTTTGTATATTGAAGTGTAAAAAATACACTGCAAAGTCAACTCAACATTGCATATCTTGCGATTTGACTATTGCGGATGCACACATTGCGATTGTGATGTTAAAACAATATATTGTGCAGCCCTATTAGAAATATAATTTTATTTATTTATTTATTTTTTAAATAGTGCTAAATCAATACTTTTATATTGGTAAAAGTGTCTAAATTCATCATGAAATGATATTTAAAAATAAAAAAAAATTAAAGAATGGCATTATTGTTATTATTTTGGTAATTATTATTTTAATGAACAATATAAGTTTAAAATATATATAAATAAAATGTTTGATGACATTGGATAAGGATTGGCAATATTGTGTGTGTATTCATAAAAATAAATATAAATATATGGTGATGCGGTGGCGCAGTAGGTAGTGCTGTTGCCTCAAAGCAAGAAGGTCGATGGTTTGAGCCTCGGCTGGGTCAGGTGGCGTTTCTGTGTTCCCCGTGTCCATGATGTTCCTCCGGGTGCCCTGGTTTTACCCACAGTCCAAAGACATTGGGTACAGGTGAATTGACCCTTCGTAAAGCCTCACCCAAAAACCGCCATCCATGAATCGTGGCTTAGCAACCGTAGCTACATACAGGGGCTCTGTCAAGCTTTCGAGGGAAACAGACCAAAGCGTTTTGCATATGGATTGTGCAAATCTGATACTCGGTATCCTTAAAGTTTGGACAGGATGGTGTAATTTTTCCCTTTTCAAAACCAAAAACCCAAGAGGAAATTGCCAGCGTGGATCAAGCTCTGTGAGATGCACTAAAGGAGCAGAGTTAGGTTAGTTTTGTTTTGATATTCCTGACATATAGTGATAGATCGACAAAAATAGCTCAAACACCTCTAACAGATCTCAACTGTTTCCTACAAAAACACAAAGCAGGTTATGTTTCACAGCTGTCTTTTTCTTTTTCGCTCAATATTATGAGTAATGCTCCGTTTAAGCCTTCGCCATAGTAACTTAGTCATACTAATGGCAAATAGGTCATAATGACATGAGTTATTGATCCGGCAAATATGAATCTGCGAATCTGTTACTAACTTTTCTGAACTTCATATTTCCATCTGTTTCAAGCTACGAATATTTGAAATTACAAATCAACAAACAAAACCGAGATAAGATCACAAACTGAGCACTTGTGATCAATATACTTTACCCCCAGCTGTTTTTCATTAATTTATAAAAAGCACACAAACATACTGACAGTAATAGGTAACTTACTGTACATTGTTATGGGTCAATGATGCTAATATTTGGCCATTCTGGCTGTTCTTTCTATGAATGAAAGATGTAGAAGCACTGTCCATGCGTGTTTCCTCATCGGTAAGCTGCGCTATTTTTTCATTGCAAAACATTTAATCTATCAGACTTTTTGGTTAAAAGTAGAGAAATCATGGTTTAATTTGTTATTATTAGATTATTTTCAATTTCACCTCTCCTGCTGAGCATGAGTTAAACTATCAAATGGTCAGCATATGAGGCGGCTAGGCTAATTTAGCTTTAATTTTGATTGAATTATTTTCTAATCGGTTGCCTATTATGTCGTAAATATACCCCTGTAATGCATACTGCAGTTCTTTTTGTCTGGCTTTCTCGGATATCTCACCTGTTCGCCAAAAATGACATTGTATCTCTGGCAATGTCTGACACCGGCGCAAACACATTGTAAAAGTCATGCCAGGCATGAAAGCTTGACAGGCGTAGCAACAGAAACTAAGGAAGGCGGGGCTTAACAAAGGGTCAATTGGGTTAGCAAAATTGTCCATAGTGTATTTTTGTGAATGAGGATGTATGGGTGTTACCGGTGATGGGTTGCGGCTGGAAGGGCATCCACTGTGTTAAACACGTGCTGAATAAGTTGGTGGTTCATTCCGCTGTGGCAACCCCAGATTAATAAAAGGACTAAGCCATATATATATATATATATATATATATATATATATATATATATATATATATTAAACAGCATAATAAATAATTAAAATATATATAAATATAATGATGGAATCGCAATATCATTCATTCATTCATTCATTCATTTTTTTTCTTTTTGTATTTTAAATGATTAAAATATATTCAAATGTAATATTTGATGATAATAAAAAATAGCATTATTATAAATTTTTTTATAATTATTGAACAGCATAATAAAAGGTTAAGTATATTCCCACCGTATATTCAGTCTTTGTTTACCCGCTGCCCAACTTGACTGTTTCCGCTAAATTTAGATCTGATTTGCAAAATTTCATGTTAAAATTGGGCACTACCAAAAGAGAGAGATAACAAATAACAGAGTGTGTTGTGAAAGAATTGTAGGCTAAATGTCAGTTTTGTTTGCCTCTCTGTGATGAGACATGAGTATGAAGGTAAATCAGTTGCGTAACTCGAGAGCTTGCAAATGTAAATGTGAGCACTTGTGATAATAATATTTGTATGTGTAGGTTGAAATGTACACTTACAGCTCTGATGTGAACAGCTGAATCCCTCGATTTGCACACACACACAACAATCCACACACTTGTGTTTTAAATTAGAAGTTGCAGATTAATAGTTGTGTATTTGTAAAATGTCATTTACAAATACAAAATGACAGACACACGTGTGCACGGCAAATTTGATTGCATCTTATCTCTACAACCACAGGTCGGCACTCACAACCTCTCAGTTTTGTCAGTACAACTACAAATCTCCCGCGCTCTGACTTTTGCTACACATCTCCCGCGATCTCTGTAGCAGAACTCATCTGTGCACTCGCAGATGCAGAGGCGTGAGCAGCGCGGGGCGGGGGAGGGGCGGGGCAGGTGTAAAGCTGTTTGATTGGCTGATGCCTGACCAATGAACAATGCCAGCAGCCAACAGGACTGAGGTGCAAAAGAATCATTTCCCACGATTATTTTATTATTTAGGGTTTATTTCAACTCTTTTCTGAAGAGATTCTTGTTAAAAATCATTAATTTTGCGGAAATGTACATACCAGTAAAAGAGCAGCAAAGCCAGTTTATTGGCTAGAGCCAGCCAATGAGATGGGGCGTTTCTGTTTGTCAGCAGGGCAGCTCACGTTGTTGGAGGCCTCGAGCAATCAGAGGGTAAGTTATGATTTTTTAATAATTATCTATATGTTCAATACTGTTAGCTAAGCTAAGGACTGTGCTAGGTGCTTCTCTAGTTTGTTTTTTTATATAAGAAACAGTTTTGAGTTATCTAGGAGCTGCTTTCAATCATGTTATATCGTTCTAAAGATCCGATTCAACCCACATGAAATAAGTTGTAATAGTATTTATAGTAAATAATATTACGTTTTTGAACCATACTAACTATAGTAAACTGTATTATATTGTATATATTGCAGTATCTACAACTTTGTTAATGAATGCAACAGCACACTGTAGTATTAACTAACATGAACTTTAATAAATTAAAGTATATTTACACACACATTAATAGCAATTAAAAATAACACTAGGCGTTTCAGTTTCTCACTGATTATACCGGTTTTTGTTATAATAACCTGCATCATATCTATCTATCCATCTATCTATTTACATGTTTGTGTACAGTGTGTCCTTTATTTCACTTTTTTAATTATGAAAGTTACTAACTATAGGTTATTTCTCAGTTTCCTGTAAGGATGGAGTGACAGGAGAGATCAGCATGTTTCAAGTCGATGAGGAACTCAGAGAAGCTGCATAGCTTGAATAGGATGTTATTTATGCTAAAGATGACATGATGATCCAGCTCATCTACAAACACTTCAAAATGATTCAGATCATTCAAGAGGAAGCCGACCATTTGTTTTCTCTTTTTACCTGCCAAGATGATTACAGATTTAAACAAAACATAAACTCACCAACACACAACTTTTATTTTGCTAATTGTTTAATGTAGTATTTTTACACTTTACTGTAAAGTAGGGCTGTCAAACTTAGTTCCTGGAGGGCCGTAACCCTGCACGTTTTTAGTTTCAACCCTGCTTCAACACACTTAAGTGAAAGTGTCAAACAAACCTGAAGGACTCAGTTAGTTTGATCAGGTGTGTTTAATTAGGGTTATAACTAAACTTTGCAAAGCTGCAGCCCTCCAGGAACTGAGTTTGACACCTGTGCTGTAAGGGAAATGTTTAACATTAATTTGTGAAATAAAATTTACAGTGCAAATAAGTGCAGTGCAAATGTCTAGTTACTTGTATTGAAATATTTCAGGGTTTTTCCTTGTTCATAATGAGATGGAGGTGGTAAATCCAACTTCATCATTACCCATCAAATGTTATCTCCTCTTTAATCCTTTGCTCAAACCTTTAGTAATGGGCAAAAAGCAAGCCATTGTGTAAAGCTGGTTGATGTAAAGCTCGCTGTAATAGAGAGAGATGATGACTGTTCAGCTTATGTTGCTTAACCCTGCAGATGAGATGCTCAAAGTGGACCCTCAGCCGAGCGATGGACACTGTCTCCCTCACCTAGTTGCTCTTCCTTTGAACACACATATCATGTTGAAGGATGCAAGTTGTGGACCTAAATCAGATGTAATGGATGTAGATGTATAAATCAGAAAGAAATGAAACTGCTTTAAAATGTATTAGGTTTTACATATAAATACGTGTTCTTAACAGATTTGTTTCAACTTGATATTTGCATAATAAATGACATTAGAATGTTTAGTTTTAAACAAATAGCTATATTTCAATCTTATCAAATTTAAGCTATATATATATATATATATATATATATATATATATATATATATATATATATATATATATATATATATATATATACTTCAATTTATTAAAGTTCATGCTAGTTAATACTACAGTGTGCTGTTGCATTCATTAACAAAGTTGTAGATACTGCAGTATATACAATATAATACAGTTTACTATAGTTAGTATGGTTCAAAAACGTAATATTATTTACTATAATATTATTTACTTATTTACTAAAATACTATTACAACTTATTTCATGTGGGTTGAATCGTATCTTTAGAACCATATAACATGATTGAAAGCAGCTCCTAGATAACTCATAACTGTTTCTTATATAAAAAAACAAACTAGAGAAGCACCTAGCACAGTCCTTAGCTTAGCTAACAGTATTGAACATATAGATAATTATTAAAAATCATAACTTACCCTCTGATTGCTCGAGGCCTCCAACAACGTGAGCTGCCCTGCTGACAAACAGAAACGCCCCATCTCATTGGCTGGCTCTAGCCAATAAACTGGCTTTGCTGCTCTTTTACTGGTATGTACATTTCCGCAAAATTAATGATTTTTAACAAGAATCTCTTCAGAAAAGAGTTGAAATAAACCCTAAATAATAAAATAATCGTGGGAAATGATTCTTTTGCACCTCAGTCCTGTTGGCTGCTGGCATTGTTCATTGGTCAGGCATCAGCCAATCAAACAGCTTTACACCTGCCCCGCCCCTCCCCCGCCCCGCGCTGCTCACGCCTCTGCATCTGCCAGTGCACAGATGAGTTCTGCTACAGAGATCGCGGGAGATGTGTAGCAATAGTCAGAGCGCGGGAGATTTGTAGTTGTACTGATAAAACTGAGAGGTTGTGAGTGCCGACCTGTGGTTGTAGAGATAAGATGCAATCAAATTTGCCGTGCACACGTGTGTCTGTCATTTTGTATTTGTAAATTACATTTTACAAATACACAACTATTAATCTGCAACTTCCAATTTAAAACACAAGTGTGTGGATTGTTGTGTGTGTGTGCAAATCGAGGGATTCAGCTGTTCACATCAGAGCTGTAAGTGTACATTTCAACCTACACATACAAATATTATTATCACAAGTGCTCACATTTACATTTGCAAGCTCTCGAGTTACGCAACTGATTTACCTTCATACATGAGTGCCGCGTGACGTGTGGAGAGGTTTTGTGTTTCATATATCATATCAGCATTATTTCTACACACGTAGCAGGTACATATTGGGCCACGAAAGAATGTATAGCAATTAAAAACACCCAGCTGGATGCTACAGAGTCCAGTCAGCCTATGACAAGCGACACACAGCAGATGCGCATGCTCTCTTTTATATACACACACACACACACACACACAGAGCACCATGGAAGATGTGCGCGCTCTCACATTAACATTTAGGTGCTTTATTGGTATGACAAATAGCTGGACATTAGTATTGCCAAAGCAGTGCAGTGTAGCTGCATACAAACAAGTGCAAAAAGGGCAGTAGTGCAAAGCAGTAGTGCTCTCTCTCATTCTCCTCCCACACACACACACACACCCACAGGATACACGCGCGCGCTTTCTGTCTCTCTCTCTCTGGAGCGCTATATTGTTAGACTGCCCGCTCCCGTTCAAATTACACCAGAGTTCCTGACAGCAACGGCGTGTTGTCTGGAAATTTATTCCCGCGCAGCAAGAAAACTGGTCGGTCCTGCAGCTCCCACGGTACAGCCGCAGAAATGCAGACCTCTAATGTGGGTAGACAAGTTTGGATACTCGTCTGGTGTGTGCCCCCACTGTGCCTTTAAAATCTCTCTTTGAATGATCATACAGGTGCAGATCATTTTGCATCATCTCTACTACACTCTTCTTCAATGTTCATATGGCTAGGAATGTTGTTCTCCTGTCTGACCACTGTGGAATAAGAAACCAATTGGGGTGAAGATATAGCACATAGAAGGCAGAGTTCCAGAACACACCCACTGACTGTATAATCACCACAGGCCAATGGTAGTGTTTAGGATCCAAAACAAAAGTTTGCTTTATTGATCTGTTTCGAGGTGTGATAACTAACTTTATAAACTTGTTTTCAGTTGGATTTTGTTCGGAAATAATGTAGCAACAGTTCATTCTTTTATTTTGTTTGAAGTATACTGGGGCTTTTATACTGTTCTCTGCTTCTCACAAATGTTTTGTGGTTAGGGTCATGTGGTGATGGGCAACAACGCAGTGTCGCCGTATCAGCAGGTGATCGAGAAGACCAAGAGCCTGTCGTTCCGCAGTCAGATGTTGGCCATGAATATCGAGAAGAAGATCAGCCACAGCAACAGAAATGAGGTACCAGACTCTAGCAAACTAAACACACTGTGTGTAAGATGGGCAGAAATAATGAGCATTTCTTACCTCGATATTTTAAATGCTTCTCACAATTGAGTTTATAGGCTGCAACAATTGAATTCTGACAGTTCAGTGAATTATTAGTTTAAAACTTACAATAGGGGGTCAACATTTTGCAATTCTGACTTTCTCATATGGAAGAGTTATGATAAGAGCTTATCATCATGGCAAGGGTTGTTTGTTATTTCTTACCATAGCAAGGTATTTCTGAGCTTTTTTTGAGAAAATTTAAAATATGATCATTTTACCGATGATGATGATAATGATACTAAAAATGGCGGCACAGTGGCTCAGTGGTTAGGCACTGTCACCTCACAGTTGACATTTGTGTGTGGAGGTTGCATGTTCTCCCCGTGTTCGTGTGGGTTTCGTTTCGGGTGCTCCGGTTTCCCCTACAGTTTAAAGACATGCGCTATAGGTGAATTGGATGAACTAAATTGGCCGAAGTGTATGTGTGTGAGAATGTGAATGTTCGTTCCGCTGTGGCGACCCATGATTGATAAGGGACTTAATCGCAGGAAAATGAATGTATGAACAGATATTAATAATATATGACGAGGATGATGAGGCTGATGAAGCATGATGTTTTGCATTTATTAGAAAAAAACTGCAAGATGCCAACACAAAATTGCAAAAATGATCAAAATTAACTTCAATATTTAGTATCTCACAATTTCAATGTATAAACTCAGAACTGTTAGTTTATCTTACAGTTTGGAGAAAAAAAGTCAGAACATTGTCAGAAATTTGTAATTTCACTAATTTGTAAAATATTCATTCATTCATTTTCTTGTCGGCTTAGTCCCTTTATTAATCAGGGGTTTACCACAGTGGAATGAATCACCAACATAACCAGCTTGTGTTTTATCCAGCAGATGCCCTTCGAGCCAAAACCCAGCACTGGGAAACACCCATACACGCTTACATTCACACCCACACATACACTACGGCCAAATGGCTTATTCAGTTCACCTGTACCGCATGTCTTTGGACTGTGGGGGAAATCAGAGCCCCCGGAGGAAACCCACGCCAACACAAGGGAGAACATGCAATCTCCTTACAGAAATACCAGCTGACCCAGCCGGGACTCGAACCAGCGATCTTCTTGCTGTTAGGGCGACAGCGCTACCCACTGCGCCACCGTGTCGCACTCTTTGTACATTTGTTGCCTAAAATTCTTTCCTTTTCTTCTTTTGGATAGAGTTTATTCTATTAGACTATTACCTTGAATGGGTGGTGGAAAAGTGAGAATTGTGAGATTAAAAGGTCTCCTTAAAATCTATTTATGTATTTTTATCCTGGTGGAAACAAGCTTTCTTAGCATTTTTTCTCTTAACAGAACATTAGCCAGCATTTGCTGGCACAGCCTGTAAAATATCTTGCGCTCCCCAAATAAAAGGTCAGACTCAGCGTAATGTCTGAAAAATCTGATTTTATGTCAAGCAAGTAACTCACGTCATATATCCTCTGCTCTGCTGTACTTTGCTTGATGTTCATTCTTAATACATTGCTTGAGTCAGAGATTTTTGACCCTTTAATATATTTATGCCAGTCAAATGTAATAGAAGTTGTTTTCTGAGCACACTTTTGCTGTATATGCTGCATCTTTTATGCCCCTAATGATCCTCTGTTTCCTTTGTAGACACCGAACTGGGCGGCTCAAGACACGGGATTCTATTAAGACTGGAATCAAGTCAAACAGTGGATCATCTGTTATTCTCCTCGACTTCATCTTAGTATTTAACTAACTTTCTTTTATCTAGCCATGTTTTATAATAGGATCATTTTAAGAAAGACTGTTGCAGACATTTTCGGCACTGCGGAGCTGTGGATTTCTGAGAGCTTGCCATAGAGTTTTATGCATTCTGTATGAAGGAAAGGATTTACCAGGCAAGATTTTATTAACTTTTTTTCAGTTCGGTGTGTTCTCGAATTCATTGTTTGAATATCATAACACCAGAATAAACAATGAGAATGTGCTTCTGAATGCATTTTCTAGGTCCTACAAAGTACTCATAGAATCATTTACGGTTGAAATGTGTAATTTGTATGTCATTATCATGTGTCACAATGCCATTCTGATGGCAAGGCAAGTTTATTTATATAGCACATTTCATACAAAGTGGTAATTCAAAGTGCTGTACATAAACAAGGGTAAAAGAGACAAGTGTAAGAAAATGAAAACAAATAATAAAAATAAAAATTATAAAAATAAGAATAAAAAATAGATAAAACAGATAAAATGTGTTAAAATATGTTATAAGATAATGATTAAAATATGTTATAAGATTATGGTAACATTATTTTTATTATTTATTTATTTATTTATTTATTTATTTATTTATGCCTTGCACCACTTTTCCTGAATTGTCATTGCCAGTCTTAATCCAATTATAATCGTTTTTTTTTTTTTTTTATTTAGTTTGGAATTACCACAACCATTGCAGTTTTACATGTATACTGCAGTTGAAAAAACCCAATTCGTTGTTCATGAAGTGTAGAAACCCTTTCTGTCGTGTTTGGATTTCTATGCTGTATTTTAGCAATGGCGAACAGCCGATTTTATCCACTAGGTGGCAGCAGTGACTAACTTTTCAGTTTTTGTCTGGCTAGTCACCAATGGACTGTCGCAAACTAGTCATTACCAGCAGCCTCACTGCTCATCATCTTTTTAAAGGTTTCTTGATTTTGCGGTCTGTTTACAAATAGAGACGTAGGAATGTTGGGCATCTGTGTTTGATTTTGGACGAGGGGGAACAGGTAATTTTAGGCCAGAGGTTTGAAAACACAGGGTGTGTGTTGTCGAATAAGCAAACGAACATGGAAAGATCCTGTTGTGACTAATAAACGACCAGCCTCCTCTGAATAGCAGATTTTCCTTTAGTTATTTTTGTGTTTCATACAAAGTCTAGACAAAATGCTGGTAAAAAGGTGTTTTCTGGAAGCAGATCTGTTTGGCATATTCATCAAAATGCAGAGCTCTCATTATAATTTGGTTTTAAATATGATCAAAAACCTTAACTGCTATATTTAGTAGTGGGCAAAAGTCATGTCTTATGTATGAAATATATAGGCTCAAACAGATTATGCAAGTTTTTCGGAGAATACATAAAAAAATTGTATGTGTTCCTCTTATAAGTGTTTAAAATTTGTGATAATGCAAAAGAACGTGGTTGATTCTATTATAAAATATTTTTTTTATTCTTATCCTTTCCATAATAATAAATTAAACCCATATTCCTTGATAAACTATAGCAATTTGTTATAGATTTAATCATTTAAATATCTTAACCTTATGCAAAAACAAAAAAAAAAATGTAAATAAAAAAAACACTTGAAAAATGTCTTGGTTTTAGGATTTATAGTGATGTGTTTGAGCAAAACCTTTTTTTTATTCTGAGAAACATTTCTTTGTCAATATCTGTAATATATTTTGGTGTATTTAAACAACATTTATGCCTTAAAAAGTCTTAAATTCATTAAAAAAAAAAAAAAAAAATCTTAAATAATTTGAAACAGGTCTAAAATTTCCTCTGTCCAGGTAAAGCTATCAAATCAGCCTGAGATCTGTCCAATCACCAACAATCCATCTCTATATATTTCCTAAGTTTTTTTATTGCAAAGAGAAAATTCTTCTAATTAAATAAACTACACATAAACTAAAAACAGTTAAAAACACAATTACTCATGATAATAACAGAGTTAATGTTTATAAATAACCATAAAACTTTAGGTTTTATAACAGAAACACATTAGGTTGAATCCATTTGGACCAAAAACCAACAAATATTGTAAATACTTTTGATTAAACATGTAATTTTCTCTGTAATATACACTGTTAAACTTGTCATTAAAAATAGACGAAACATTTATGTTGAAAAAAAAAGTGTGTAAAACTAGTTTTCTTGTATTGACACATTAAAATATAGAAATAAATGCATTTGATTTTTGTGGCAAGCAAAACAAAAAATTCCATTGGCCCAACTGGGCCATTATCAAAAATCCTAAGTGTTTAGCTTTGTATAAGTCTTAAATATGATCTATAATGGTTTTTAAAGGGTATTAAAACGTCTTAAATTTGACTTGAAACCTGCAGAAACCCTGATTTTACTTGAGCCCATACTTAATTACAATGAAACTCTCTTTTCAAAGAACCATGTTATTGGTATTTTAAATGGTTTAAGTGCACTTGTAGTGTCACTAACGGTGAATATGTTGTTCTCTTGTGGCCACTGTTGTATTCGGCATGCCTTAAAAAAGGGTTTGATCACACTTAGAGAAATGTGTACGACTTGACTAAGCACTTCACTTTTCTCAGATATTTTACAGTGACTACATTTTCTATTCTTGGCAGATGTGTGTAATCAGTTCCTGTCAAGATAATTTTATAAGTGTGACTCAAGCATCCAAATGCATATAAAAAGTCACTGTTTACTTTAGTAACCTTGATAATTTCAGAGTTTGAACACATAGCTGCTTATTTTCAGTGAACTTTGCTGTTGCTTTAAACTGCCTCAGGCGCATTTCTCCGCTTCTATACCTGCCATTAACCAACAGGTCTCGGAGGCCGAGTGAAATGAGGGTGTGTGAGAGAGCGCGATGTTTTGCCCTGGGAGTGGCTGCTGGATATTCCAGGCAGGGCTGCAGTGAAGAGAACACACTCCTCCTGAGTTGACGTGTGCCGTGGCCTTGCACAGCTGCTGCCCATCTGCCACAGAGAAAGCAGCCGCAGCAGTGAGACCAGAAGAAAGTGTGAGCAGACAGACAGTTAAAAGTAATGGACGCGCTGCTGGACTGGGCCCTGGCATACCCGGCTCTGGCCCGGCTGCTCTGGGTGATGGTGCTGGTACTGGCCACTGTCGTGGTCTGGAGCCTGTTCTTCTGCTGCTGGGGAAACCGAAGCTCCACCTCCCCTCTGGAGAAATATCTGTCAGGTAATACAGCTGCTTTTTGTTCAACTCAACTGGCCCGGGATCAGTTTTAGCTTATGCTCTTTTTGGCCGTGAAGGGGGAAAATAAGAAAGGGAGAAAAGGAAGGAAAAAGATATGCTGGTTTTCCATGACTGGCTGCTTTTAGTGGGCACAGGATGGAAATGTGGCTATCTTTGACGTCATCTGAAGGGGTGTCCTGAATCCTCCAATCGCAGTTTAGGGTTTCGTCTTGAGCAGTAAACCGAAATTAAATGTTCTCTGGGATGTTACGCAATGACAGCTTTGAAGATTTCGGATATCCAAGCTCTGAATTGGCTTGGGAAAAAAAAAGATTTGAAAAGTTGTTTAAAGACTAGACAAAACAAGCATTTAGTTGCAAAGATGTTGAAATGTCTGTACTGTGGAAGAGACATTCCACAGGATGTTCCATTATAATGTCTCCACACTGTAAACCCTGCTGTTGTCATTACTAAAGATAGTAAGTTAATATAACTTGACATTACTTAAAATACCAAGTTTTGGCATCAAAACTTAAACAGGTGTGTTTAACATACTCATTTGCAGAAAAAAAAACAACAACTTTTAATTAACATTTTAAGTTCTCTAAACATTTCAGTTTCAATTCACCATGGCTCTGTTTAACATGATTGGTTGCGCTTGATATTCTGCCTTGACAACCGCACTGATTGGTCGATATTTGTTATATGACACAAAGTGGTACTACTTGAACCCATCTGATAAAACAGAAAAGGTAAATTAGTAAGTAGATATTTAAACACTTAGGCATGGGCCGGTATAAGATTCTGCCAGTATACGAAAACCTTAGATATAAATATAAAGGTTTCATGGTATCACTGTATTGAGATTACTGCTCTAAAATATATTCTTTTTAAATGTCTTGGTAAAAACAAAACTTTTTCCCCCTTATGTACACAATATATATTAATTTGGGAAACATTTAAAATGTTTTGGAGCAATAAACCTTGTTTCATTGATTTTCTTTTCGGCTTAGTCCCTTTATTAATCTGGGGTCGCCACAGCGGAATAAACCGCCAACTTATCCACCATATGTTTTACTTCCAGCTGCAAACCATCTTTGGGAATCATCCATACACACTCATACACTAGGGACAATTTAGCCTACCTAATTCACCTGTACCGCATGTCTTTGGACTGTGGGGGAAACCTGAGCACCCGCAGAAAACCCCATGCAAACGCAGGGAGAACATGCAAACTCCACACCGAAACGCCAAATGACCCTGCCGAGGCTCGAACCAGCGACCTTCTTTCGGTGAAGTGACTGCACTACCTACTGCCCCACTACATTGCCAATTTGGTATCTAAACAGTGTAAACATTCATTCATTCATTTTCTTTTTGGCTTAGTCACTTTATTAATCTGGGATCGCCACAGCGGAATGAACTGCCAACTTATCAGCACGTTTTTACGCAGCGGATGCCCTTCCTGCCGCAACCCATCTCTGGGAAACAGTGCAAACAATATTTGTTAATTCAAATTTACTTAAATTACATTAGCACTGACAATTACAATCGCTGACAACTTTTGTTGTTGAGTGTTTAATGTTTAACTCTACTGTTTAACAAAGTGACTTTAGAGGGGTTTGCATGAGACAAGCTATTTCACAGTTTCTGGAGCTATTGCCATATGTATCCAGTTTTTGGTTTGTTCACACCACAGAAACTGTGAGCGATTAAAGTTTTAGAAATGCCATTTGGATAACTAAATAAGCTCCTACTTCAGATCTATAGGATCTGCAATAGAAACTACAGTGACTGAGTGAATTCATGCAATAAAACAATAATACACAATATAAAAAAGACTTGTATAAGGCAAACTTACAGAAAGCTAGTGTTAGCGCCATTTATACTTTTGTCTGTGGCATTGTGTTCTTTCATCAGCCTTGATGATATGCAACTCAACAAGCTGTCATAGATAATTTATTCCTTATTTTTGCTGTTTCATTTGCATATTATATCCTTATGTTACATCTTCATTGTGGCGAAACGTTTCAATCAAGGCATCCATCAAAATCCAGCTTTTTTTGGAAGATTATTTC